ATCCAAAAACTCAATAAAAATAATGTTTTCACTATTTTTCTCAAGATGTTCAATGGTGCACCACAATCATTTTTTGGCAGGGGCTTAAGTGTTCTAGATTACTCCCTCAAATTGGTTTTGATATCAGTAGGGACTGAGGTCTGAAAATATCCAAACCGCACTATTTCCAATATTGAATTTTGCTGGAGGAGGTCGATATTCGACACAATCTAACTCTGTCTTTGAGTTGGTTGAGACAGATAATAGCAATTCGTTCAATAGTGTCCTAGGCTCGATCCTAGGGCAGGATAAGCAAATGCGAGATGAAGTCAAAACATTTACTTATTTTCCAGAAAAACGCCAATAAGAACTGCTAATTGAATGTCACTATGATGTTATAATGCTTTCGGAGTCATGGTTAACGGAACATATGATGCAGAGCTCTGTCCAGAGCAGTTTGATTTGTTTCGTACTGATCGTTCATCAACTGGAGATCCCAGAACTTGGGATGGAGGAGTTCTGATTGCTGCCAAAGACTAAATATTGATGTTACAACTGTTGAACAGGTTTATGTATATTTCAAAAGTAAATCATCTGAATTTGTTTTGGGCTACATCTACCTACCACCTAAGTCTGATGTAGGTAAGCTTGTTTGTTGATGTATGTCAATTAATGGAATCAATTTTTAATTTGTATGCTGAATGTAATTTATTGCTGGTTGGCGATTTCAATTTGCCACAAGTTAAAAGAGTTAATAATGAGTTTGGTCTGACCAGAGAGTGTGCGGGGAATTTTCCGGCAAATGATTCAATGGAGTGTCTAAATTATTACGGTTTTCGTCAGTTAAACACTATCATGATTTACAGGAATGCTTTGCTTGACTTGGTGTTTTCAAACTTGGGCACTGTTGATATTGACAGAGCCACCGATATGATTTTGAGTAATAGTGTTCACGACACAGCTATATCTTTGAGATTCAACCATAATGTAGAATGCAAACGTTCTAAATATGAGGAGTGCTTTTTTTGATTCTAAAAATGGCAATTACATTTCATTGAATGATTATTTGGCAAGTGTTAATTTGGTGTTTAATGAATGATTTGACCCTTGAGCAGGCTGCCCTATGGTTTCATGAAACATTGTGGGAGGGGATAACTTTATAGGTTCCAGTAAAGAAATTCCGAACTTATAACTTTCCTATGTGGTTCAACGCTGAGCTGCGCAGAGAGAAACAGTAGACGAATCGGACTATTTGTTGTTCTCTGAAGTGAGGGATAGGTGCGAGGATTTGAGGGACTCCTCATATAGAATTTACCTGCTCAAAACTGAAAATAACATTAATAGGAATCCTAGATCTTTTTGGTCACACTTTAACAGTCTTAGAAATTACTTTGTTCTTCCCTGTAACATGAGTTATAATGGCTCCACTGTGAACTTATTTGCAGACTTCTTTTCTAGTGTTTACTTGAACCGTACCACTGATCAGGCTCCAGAATACTCATTTTTCAATGTCAACTGATGTTTCTGGATAATCTGTTTTTTGTGCTGATATTATTGAATAAGTAAAAAAATTCACCTGATAAGTTGTAATGTGGGCCAAATGGAATCGCCTTGCTTTTTATAAAGAAATGCCTATACACCCTTGCGACGCCCCTGGCAAATCTTCTCAATCATTCATTGTCGACAGGTTCTTACCCAGTTTTGTAGAAGTTCAGCTTTATGAAACTAATATTTAAAAGTGGGTCAAGAGAAGAGGTCACAAATTACAGGACTGTTTGCACACAGTCTGAGATTCCTAAGTTGCTGGTTTGTCTCATTAGCAGGAGACTTAGCTGAGACTGTAGGTGCCTTTTAAATCGGGAACAGCATGGATTTACGGTGGGTAGGTCGACATCAACAAAGGTTTCATATCAGAATTTTATTTTGAACACTATGAAAAGGGGGTTTCAGGTGGATTCTGTATACTCGGATTTCTCTAAAGCGTTTGACATGGTTAACCATCGCCTGCTCATTAGGAAGCTTGGTTGTTTCGGGGTGAGAAGTTCAATTCTGAGTTGGTTCGCTGACTTTTTTGTTGGGAGAACTCAGGCAGTTAGGTATGGCGGTGTTGTGTCTCGTGTGGAGCGTAAACTTTTTTTTCTATTGAATTTTATTAGGTACCATAAGCATTTTCACTTATCGTAATGAGCCATTCTGTGGAAGATTGCGGCAAAAATAGAAACCAGAGTGAAAGAAGTCCAAAACTCTTTTGCCATGCCTATTCTTGAAGTAATAAAAAAAATAAAATACTTGTAAGCGATTTAAAGAAGTTTTATTAATTTTTTTTTAAAATCATTTTCGATCAGGGAAGGACCAAGTTAAGTGACAAATACAACAAAGTCAGGAATGAAACTTAAAAAATTAACCAAAAATGGTTCACTAGAACCAGTAACGAATAAATAATGTTGCATATAGCGTATTTTATTCTTCATCAACCTGAGATTGGCGAAGTTATAGACATTTGTGAAACCTCAAGTTTAAAAATCTTATACACTAAAACAACCACAAATTCTTCCCAAATCTGACAATTTCTTTTCAATTTTTTTCATACTATAAAACAGGGGCGGATGGGCAACTTTGAATCGGCCCGGGACGGTTTCTGCTCAAGCGGCCCCGCGGGCTCTCATGAGGTAGGTAATTAACGCTGGATAGGGTATTAAATAATCTACTTAAAAAAAAAAAAAAATACCTCCTTATATTACTCATAAATACGAAAGCGTAGAGCCAAGCTGATATTGTAAAATATTTTCATGTTCAAGTTTACACTTTTTCTGTTTGAGCAGACATTACCAACTTCAAGTACCGCAATTTGGGTTAGTTCGCAATTTTATTCAGACATTACAGGTCCGAAAGCCAACCATTTGGAACGTATTGAATTTGAATAACTTGTCACTTGTCCAAACTAACCCAATTATTATTGGTAAGTTTGGTAATGTCTGATTGAAATAGCAAACTATCCCCCAAACTAACCAGGTTATAACATCGGTAAGTTTTAAAATGTCTGATTAAAATTGAAAACTAACCCAAACTAACCAGGTTATTAGAGACTTTTTGCACCTCTTATTTTGCCATTCCGCTGTGGTTATCGTTATACTGAGTATGCGCAGTAGCAAAAAAATGTTCGTTGTACTAATCAACCACAACGAGCGGCGTTATTTAAGGAGGAATAACCTTGTGCTTATAGCTATACCTAATACCTATGGTTATGGTAAAACTGTGTAGATGCAACATTGAAGAAAATTGAATAGATGTCATCCCGTTTTAATAAATAAATAATTAAAATCATCTAAAATTCTGAAAAAATAAGTGTGGATTATCATTTTGATGTTATGAAATTAGTTAATCCGAAGGCGCAGGCGAAGTTCATGGTCCAGAGGCAAAATGAAATAACGGAAATATGTAAACGTTTGGCGTTGCAAAATCTCTGATTTTGAAGGTCGTGGTAATCGTTATCGTAGATAAAGGTAACCATAACTGATCCAAAAACTGCTGTTACTTTAAGGGTTGCAAAAAGTCTCTATTCTGGGTAGGTTTTAGTTTGGTAATGTTCAATTACAATAAATTTCAAACTAACACAAATTTTGAAAACAAAATGGTTATGTTCGATTGAAATTGCAAACTTACCCAAACTAACCGGGTTAATTATCGGTAAGTTTGGTAATTTCTGATTGAAAGTTCAAGCTAACCCGGGTTATTATCAGTAAGTTTTAATGTTTGATTACAATTGCAATCTAACGGGGCTAGTATTGGTAAGTTTGAAAATATCTTATTAAAAGTGCGAACTAACCGGGTTATTATTGGTAACTTTCATTATATCTAATTAAAATTTTGAACTTAGCGGGTTATTATCGGTAAGTTTGGTAGTGTCCTCGGTAATGTCTGATTGAACAGAAACAGTGTAAGTTTACAGAGAAAGTATAAATTTACAGAAAAAGGGTAAATTTACAGAAAAAGTCTAAATTTTAATAAAAATATCTCCCAATATTAGATGGCAGCTCTACGTCTTGTGAAAAAAGGCAAAAAACAAAGACTGCTTTCTGTTGGATTGGCAGAGTGTTACGCATTAAGTATTTTTTTTTTTAAATCAAATTGCGGCGCATTGTTTGTTACCTATCGTATTTTATTTTTTTTTCCTAAACCGGCCCACTTGGCTCTCCGGCCCACCGGGAATCGTCCCGGTGTCCCGCCTGAGCCCATCCGCCCCTGCTATAAAACAATATATTGCATTTTCAATGAATATCTAGCTATACTGTCAAATGCTTTTCTCAAGCCAATTAGGCTGTCAACTTAAATCTATCAAAATTCAACATTAAAGCTGGATATAGCCAGCTTTTACTGCATAATGGATACCTAACTCTTGGTGCTGCATAATTTTAAAATTTAAGTTTTAATTTCTGTCAAATTAAGTTTGATTTGGAATTAAATTTGAAAATTGCTGTCAAACCAGTATGTGTAAATCATAATGTAGTGCAAAATGCACAATTCACACTTAATGTAAAGAGGACTGGAGAAAAAAAAAACACTAAAGCTACCTATCCATTATGCACTAAGCATGGACTAGTGAACCCACAGAAAAAATCCATCATCCTTTTTTTTCTCATACATAAAAAATAATATGTAATTATATATGTAATATCGTCCAAAAAACTACCCCTACTGGATAGTTAATATAATATTTAGTTTTGTTGACAGTGAATTCAAAGATATCCAATGAAATTATTTTAGATTAGGGAAAGAAATACAAAAGTGACACAAAATAAATTCTTGAACATCCACAATTCCCAAAAATCTAACTGATTTTCCTATTCTAAATAATATTCTTGAAATTCTACATTATAAAACAAATGTAGGCACAAGATACAAAAAAAATAACAATACTTAAAAATGAAGACTGAACTTTTTTCTGTTTTTTTTACAATAAATTTGCAAAACTTACCAATAGTCCATTAAATAAAACACTAAACTAATTACATATAAAAAAATTATTCTGATACCTTCTTCTTCTTTTTCTTTTTGGAAGTTTCAAGACTCACATCATTAACTGCACCTGAAAATAATTCAAAGTTAAAATAAAAATTTACTTTATCATTGTATTACATAGTATCATGAAAAAAAAAATCTGTTGACAAAGGACCTCAACAATATTTAAATGAAGGAGACAACAAGTGCCTTCTTTTTATTAGTACCTGTTCAATATCACATGTAAAAACCCAGAGCCCAATAAAGAATAAATAAATAAAATTATGTGAACCAGATATACAAATGCCCCACTATTTTGAAAAAATATATATCCATTTAATAAATGTTGAAGACAGTTAGTTCTATTCATGGAGTTCTATTTACAAAGTTTAAAACATTTAAAATCAACTTACTTGTATTGGAACTTTCGTGCATAGTACTATCAGCGGCTCTCAACTCGCTCTTCTTCTTCTTTTTCTTTTTTGGTGTGCCTTCCACTGCCTCTACTGAAAAAAAAATTGTAATTGTTTTATTTTTTAATTAAATTTATAATTCCAACAATATTATGTACGATATAAACTTGGAATAAAAAACAGAACTTTCCATAATCATGCAGATTATTATTTACAGTGAAACTTCCCTAACTTGAATCTTCAAGGGACAGGAATTCGAGTTACGGAAAATTCGATTTACGGAAAAATACACAAAATTGAGGATATTTGGATTAATATTATGTATGTATTTCAAAAAAGTAGTTATATATACATTATATAAACCAAGACAAGTCTATCTGTCGCCGCTGGCTACTGAGAATCAGTAATTTCCCCAAGCGCACTAAATGCAGTAGATGCTTCCCCGAAATATTCGAACGAATTACGCTGCTGCCACAGTTTGATGCTAACTTTTAGTTCGAGTTTTAGAAATATTCGAGTTATAGAGATTAGAAATTCGACTTACGGGGAAAAAATACATGGTGAGGTTGTGAAAACTTATTTGTTTGTGAAGAGAATTCGAGAGAATATTTCGAGTTTGGGAAGTTCGAGTTAGAGAAGTTTCACTGTATTTATTTTTTAAAAAGAAGCTTTCATAAACACCCCCAAATAGGTTATTACAGGTAAATGAAATAAAATTGATGGGAGTGTTAATACCGTGACAAAGTGTCATATAAATGTACAATTCACATCTGTGACTTAGGTAATATCAGGGGTAATATCAACTAAGTCCAGAGAAATATTTAATCAAGTATTTAATACAATCAAATATGTAAATTTCAGAGCATTTGAAATTGTGGACTATTAATGACAAAACAGAGGTATATAAACCACCCCAATATGAAAACATTATTTCATCAGCGATATCCAGAATTTTCTTGAAACAATAAGCAACCGTGGAAATTATGGAACAGACCATGGATCAACAATGTAAAATATCTTGTCAAAAGATAAAATTAATAATAGAAATAACAAGACTTGCATAAAACTCACCAAGTGTTAAGAGTGCGCTTCTCGATGCTGAAAATCGCTTTTGCGACTATGCTATTTTAATAAAAACAGTTGCATCTAGGAAATTTTATCTGATAACTTTTATCAAGGATATGTTTATGTGCATGTTTGACCAGTAATTTTTTTTTAATTTTTCTCATTTTATAATTTTTTTTTCTTCAAAAAATGGGAAAAATAAAAAAAAAATCACTGGTCAAGCAAGCACAAAAGTACATTCTTAAAAACAGTTTTTATTAGAATTCCCTAGATGCAACAGTTTCTATTAAAACAGCATAGTCGCGAACGCGAAATATCTATTTTTCAGCATCGAGAAGCGCATTCTTAATTGGATATAAATACTTTTAAAGTATGTATATCTCAAGAATCATGGTTGTTAGTATAAATGACAATAATCAGGTTGGTATTAAAATATATATTAGTATAGAAGATATTTCTATTCATGAAGTTCTTGAAAACATTTTAAATCCACTTACTTGTATTGGAACTTTCGTCCATAGTACTATCAGCCTCAGCAGATGTTGACTCGCTCTTCTTTTTCTTTTTCTTTTTTGGCGATTCTTGAACTGCCTCAACTAAAAAAAAATTCTTTTTCTTAACACATTTCAAACAAGAAATTAAGACTTACTATTTTCTAGACAGACATCTGAACTGTTATTTGATTCACTTGACTTTTTTTGTTTTTTCTTCTTGCTTGACCCATTTTCTGCAACGCCATTCTCTTCAGTGCCATTCTCTCCAAATGCCACAGATGCAGAGCGCTGAGAATAAATTTGATGAAGAAATTTTAAAAAATCGTAATAATATAGGTAGCTACCTTCTTCTTTTTTTTCTTTTGCTTTTCTGCGGCAGCCAATTGACTGACTTCTTGGATAGCCTCTTGCATAACTTCAATGTTTTTCTTAGGGGCATCTCCAGTTTCATAAAATTTCAATCTATCTTCAACCTGAAAGTAATTAATAATAGTAAAAATAGTTTATTGTTTCAGGTATAATTTTTTACCTGCTGTCTTAATTTTTCCCCAAATACATTATTAGGAGTTTCAGTAAAACAGTCAATCCTTGAAGCTATGGAGCATTTGTTTGCTAAATATCTTGATATTCTTCCTTTATTTTTACTGCCAGCCCTTCCAATGAATGTTGAATGGAAAAGTAATCCGTATTTAGGGGTATTACCTTTGGTTTTTAATGCTCTGAATAAAGCTTTTTCTGCACCCAAAATTTGAACAGTAGAAGCTGGATATTTAGCTAAATTAGTGAGAGAACCAGCATGTGCTATAAGCCTGGCACCAACTTGGTCACCAATCAGAGTTGCTAAATTTGGTGCTACATCAGACATTTTAGATCTGAGGTATATTGCTAGCTAAAGAGAAAAAAAACATAATAAAATCTTCAAATGCTGAAAAAAAAAAATACTAACTTGTTTTCTGTAATCTGCCAAAGATATAACTCTAGCAGCAAACATTTGAATGTTTAACAAATCGATATCACTGATATCCATACCCATACTGGACCTAGATGCAATTAAAATAGCTTGAGCTTTTCCAGCATCCATGGTAATTGCTTCAAGACCCTCTAAAGAATCTTCAGACAGGTCTTTACGGTTTTTAATAAACTGTGCCAGCCTTGCAAAAGTGTAATTTTCAGGAACAATCTTTATAAGTTCTGGAAAATAATACGAGTACCATTCTCTAAGAAAAAAAATTAAAATAAGAACCAAGTAATTTTATACTAACATACAAATAATTACCTTATCCGCATGGAAAATAAGTTGACATCCTTATCCAACTGGTCAAGTAAAGCAATAGATTGAATAATCATATTATCTACTCTATGTACATTGAACTTTATTTTAGCTCTAGAATACGAATGTCCTAGACCTAATTGGGCAATACCGGAGCTATTAGCCGTGAAGCCTTTTACCAAATTGTGAAAATGAGCGCGAATGCCTCTGATAATTTCTGGAACTACTCCAATATGACTGCATTGTATACCCAAAGCCTCAGTAATAGCAGCTGCTAACTTAGGATCAGAAACGCCCAGAGTTACTTTTTTGCCCTTAGGGACTGCTACATCCAAAAACTTGTGTAAATCTTCAGGCAAGACACCCTCGGAGACTGCATTGATGTTCTCTAAAGCAGCCACAGCTGTTTTGAACGGTGAAAAACTAACAAGCTTCACAATACTATTAAATCTAGGGAGGTCATTTATGGAAGCCTCTAACTGAGGCAGAATCATCCCAATTTCCTCGAATTCCTGAACTTTAAACACCCCATAGCCGGCTGCGTGCTCGTAGAGTACGTGCAATTTCTTCTGGAAAGGGGGCACATGGTTAAGTTAGGTTATGTTATGTTATGTTGGGTAAATTTAAATGAAAAAGTCTCGATGATTAGGAAATCATTAATTCGGTAGTTGACTTGGAAATGTTTATAACTTACCATTTTTAGTTATGATCAACACAGTATCATCAAATTATTTAACTAAAACAAATTTCCACGTGCAACAAACACTCATTTACAAGCTCCTTGAGCTTGTGGCTTATCCGTGGAGTCGGAGTGGGGCTGTGATGTGACTGATTTTTCTGTCACTTGTCAGTTGTCGTGCACATGAGGCGTTTTCTCGCGTCTCAAATGTTTCGAAACTGGCTCAAGTAATGTCACCATGACGTCATAATTTCTCGGCGCGAGAAAATGTTTTGAAAACGTGGATTGGATTGTATTCCGAAACGGTTTGAAGCAATTTTGACGTGACGTCATGGGTTTATCCGAGAATGTACTGTTTCAAAACCGTTTTGAACCAGTTTCAAAAAAGTGGACGCGAGAAAACACCTATATTTCTGAGGAGCTACGTTCCCATGATTTTAAAATGGAGCGAGAGTGATCGTCACGTGAACTCGAAATTTTATCGAACGAATCGGAGTGGTAGAAAAATATCCTTAGGTCTGGTCCAACACGTCAAAAACCTTTCCATGAAAGGTTTCAAAACCACTCGGTATACGAATTACGGATTCTACGAACAAATTTTTAGTTTTGCGCAGTGTACGGTTTTCTGCTGTGTTGGAACAAAAAGTTAATCTCTAACTTTTAACGATTGAACTTATAATAAAATATAAATATAGAAGCGGTTCTAAATTTATATTTAATTTCTATTTCTATTCCTATTTTACGAGTAAAGCCTACTCATAACTGCGAAATTCGCATTTTGTTGACATTGCTTCGACAATTTGATGTTTCATGTGTGAATCAAACGTCAAATTGTCGAAGCAATGTCAAAAAAATGCGAATTTCGCAGTTATGACTACTATGCTTAATTTGTAGACCTTAAAGCCTAGTACTCATAACTGCGAAATTCGCATTTTTTTGACATTGCTTCGACAATTTGACGTTTGATTCACGCATAAAACGTCAAATGGTCGAAGTAATGTCAAAAAAGTGCGAATTTCGCAGTTATGAGTAAAAGACTTAATGCCTGAAAAAAACCTGAGAGTTTACGTTCTAAAATTCAGAGGAAAAAATATGACCGGGATGATCCGGAAAGTATAGCTTTGCTTGTTCATTTGCACCCATAAGTTGTATTCCTTTCAAGAGTTTCGAACACTCGAGCTACTCGCTCTGGTGTTAAGCCTAGTACTCATAACTGCGAAATTCGCTGTTTTTTGACATTGCTTCGACAAATTGACGTTTTATGCGTGAATCAAACGTCAAATTGTCGAAGCATATCAAAATAGAGCGAATTTCGTAGTTATGAGTACTAAGCTTTTAGTCGACCCTGATTTGAAAGGAAGAGTTGCGTAGTGCTACAGTGGACTCTATTACCTACAGTGTTGACAATTGCTGTCTTATTTTTGATTGGTTCTAAAATCCCATATATTTATATTGAAAACGCCGCCATCTTGTTCCCACCTATTGCTTATTTCAAATATAAATATATGGGATTTAGGTGAACATCCATCATAAAACATGGAAAACAACGTATTTGATGGACCTAATAATAGTCATCAAATACGTGGATTTCAATTTTTTATGAAGGATGTCCATTTAAATTCTATAAATTCATATTTAAAAGCAACAAGAGGTTGGGAACAAAATGGCGGCGGGACCTCTATTGTCGCCACTGTATGTAAAGGTTTATTTAGCCACTGTACGTAGTGCAACAAACACTTTTCGAAAGGAATAAGCGCCTAACGCCCTGGAGCTGTTCCGGAGCTCCTTCAACTATAGTTGTATTCCTTTCACACCTATGAGGAGCTCCGGGGCCTTACACGCGTATTCCTTTCGAAAAGTGTTTGTTATGGCCGTTTCCACTAACTATTTTAGGGAAGCCTTAACGAAAAGTATTCCCTAAGCTGACATTTCTCCATGGAAAACTGTCAGTTTAGGGAATACTTATCGTTAAGGCTTCCCTAAAATAGTTGGTGGAACCGGCCATTACACCTGAGTACTCAAGCCCGAACTAAACCACTTTTAAAAATACTCGAAAGCCACCGCATTTGTTTTTTTCAAATCGGGGCGACTAATGGCGGGTATATAAAACTATTTTGACAGAATAACTAAAAGTTAACCTCTGGAATGACGTTAATTCTCATGTGATTCCAGAAGTTAACTTTTAGTTAACTGCCAAAGTAGTTTTATAATACCCGCCCTAACACCGGAGCGAGTAGCTCTAGTGTTTTAAACTCTTGAAAGGAATACAGCTATTGAATCATTTGATGTATCGATTGAATAAATTATTGATATTTTGAACCTATCGGTATAGATTTTATTTCTAATGAACAAATAACTTAGGAAAATTCTTTTTCCTTTGGAGCGGGAGAGAAACAATCCGATATTTTTTGGAAACATCGATTAGAATTGATATCGATAATTTGGAGCTAGGTATCGATTATCGATGTTTAATAAAACGTCATATCGGTGCCATCCCGCCCATGCCTATTTCCAAAAACAAAACATTGAAAATTGTGCTGGAGTGTTGAATTTTGAAAATAATTTAATAAATTAACATCTTGCTGAGAAATAATTAATAATGAACGCGCCACCGACCTTCGAATCATTCCTTTTGTACGACGGTGAAAAAAAGTAAGCCCTACTTCAATACCTTAAATAAGCACTATGTCATACTCTATACCTCCCTCTATACATACCCTAAATAAACAGTAGCAGGGTTCAAAATGTTACAATATTTTTTAGAATCGTCAAAGAAGTTGATGCCAAAGTACCAAACGCAGTAATATTCACAATCAATAAAGAGGATCACACTTTGGGAAATATGATCAGAAAGTAAGTACCTACCTATATTTATACTTTACCAAAAACCATTCATGAAAAATTATTGGTTCTACCTCAATGGTCTATGGTAAGACGACAATACTTTTTTTAAATGGTTTTCGGGAAGGTTGGAACATGCACAATTTCTCTACAAAATATTGAATATATAGGCAAAAACGCTAAAACTAATCCCCGTTTCAGTCAGTTGCTGAAAGATCCCAATGTTACATTTGCTGGCTACAAAGTACCCCATCCCTTGGAGCATAAGTTTGTCCTACGCATACAAACCACTTCTGACTACTCGCCACAAGATGCCCTCATGCATGCGATTACTGATTTGATTTCTGAATTGTCTCTATTCGAGGAACGTTTCAAGGTGAGAAACAGAGTACCTACTGATAATCTCTAGAACATTGAACCAAAGTGAATAGGGTCACTCATCAGTCCAAAAGGAGTTTAAGTCAGACAAACCCTCAATAAGTGGCATTGTTTGATTCGTCATTTTCAATTTATCTGTGATTAATACCTATTGATCAGATGATCAATAATCTATTTCATTTATATTCATCAATCAAACCCTTGTGTTTTTTTATTTATTAGGCCTGTCGCACACGGAGCTACCCATAAAAGACGAAACTGAGTAGAGACGCCAGTTACAGATTAGTTGGATACTCAATTCTTGTACACTAGGGGACGGGACAATGATTGAAAATAAACGTGTTTGTTCAGAGTACTGTATGCAAGCTTGGTCATTCATTTCGTTTTTCCTCATTTTACCACACAAATTTCGACAGTTCGAGTCTTTTGGCAATTTATCACTAACCAGTATCGTACGGGTCGGCGATCAGTAGCGGCGTGTAGGACATTTGATTTGAATACACATGCCGTGGACTTGCAAAAGACTGTCAAGTGATTACAGTTTAATTTCAGTTTCTTACCAGTAGCTCCGTGTGCGACGGGCCTTAATTGGAACTAATCATAGCTGATTTTGAAGTAGGGAATCAATAAAATAGAAATATGTCTGCTTTAGTATTGAAGCCTCTTCAATTTTAAAAAGATTTGTTTGTTTAGGACCTCAATTTTTATCTTTTTTTTTGCAGGAAGCGGTCAAAGAGAGAAAAGAAGGATTGGAATAATTATTAAATTGTGTATTTTGTAAGAGATTTTTAAATAAAAGAAAAATAATATTTTTTTTTACATTACATAGATTAAAATTAATTTAGGAGGATGGTTCCTTGAACTAATTTTAGCTAAGAATTACATTAGAAATAGTTTTGGAGGAAATCAAGTAATGTGGTTATTGTAAATTAACAAGAACTTACATGTGATAGGTCCACCTAGTTCTTACTTTGCTAAACTCGAGACAGGGTTATTTAGTTTTTTTTCTCTATTATTATATAAAGTTACCTAGGTATGCCATGAGAATGTTTCCATAAAATCAAGTTTGATTCAAAATAAAGTGCTTTTTTGAATAGGGTTTTTGTTGTTCGAAGTACCTATGTATTTAAATTTTGAAAAAGATACCTCAAGTACTCAAATAAATATAAGTTACTCATGGAGCCCAAAAATGTCAGAAGAATCTTCAACTTAACTGCAACTATTGGTTATATTATTAATTTTGCTATATAACATATTGATTATCATTTTTTAACTTTTTACATTTGAAATATAATATTTAATATCAAAATAAAATACATAAAACAATTTTCAAAATGCTTACTAAAGTTCTCTTCCAACAGAGATGAGAATCGTTCTAGAACGGTAATTTCCAGTCGAATAATTCATTTGTCAATTAGGATAAACGTTCAACCCTTTGAAAAATAGGTGGGCGACTGGAAATTACTGGTTCTGGAACGGTTTCCATGTCTTTTGGAACAGAGCTTAAACAAACTCTATGATTGAAGAAACATATCTATGACTCTTATTAAGATAAGCTGCTTGCTTGAATCCAAAAGCCAACAATCCAAGGGATAAAAAGAATCTCATAATTGATTCAAAATAGGAACATTAGGAAAACAAATTACAATTTCAACACTGACACATATAATTTTATTTTGCACAAATCATAAAAAATATAAAAATACGCCTTTCAGGCTATAGGGTTTCCTCCTTATAAATTACCATAAAATTTAACGAAACATACAAATCAATTCCTAATCTTCAACATATTGCACTGTGACTTCTTGATATGTTGGTCACTGCTTACCTAATGCTAAACAAATCTTCTCACTTAAATGCTATTTAGTTTTTTTTAATTTGAGAAATATTTGAGAGAGTTTGTTACTTAGCATTAAAAATTAGTCTGAAATATACCACAACTGTATAAAATAGGAATTAGGATAAATTTCTTGGAAATAAGCAACAGATACATAGTTTTCATACAGATGATCATCAAGTACCTCTATCAAAAAGACTAGAAATCATATAAATTAAAAATAACTTGTACAGGGTACCAAAAATCTCTTTTATGCAAACAGTTTTGAAATATTCCCGTTCGTGATTTCTTGTACTGTGTACTTGTATTTCAATCAATTAAATATCAGTACAGGATTGAACATCGCACCCAAAACAAATTTAAACGCATCATAAGATTTATATAGTAAGTTTGGTCCAAAAACGCCATTCTCTGATGCTCTAACAGAAGTTAATTCATGGTCTGAACAACTTATACAACCAATTTCGGTAACTTTTACGTGTGTCCTCAATGATCCTAAAATTCCATTAGCTCCCGCGGTTTGATTGTTATAAAGCGACCCTTTGAACCACAGTTTATTATATGGCTGAACCCGGAGAGCAAAATGTTTGAATTCGTTTGATAAAAGCAAATGGACTTCTGGGTAAAACTTCCAAAAAGATGAAGTCATTTGTACAATAATTACAAACTTGTATAAATTATATTCTTTTAAAGTGCATTTGTTTTGTGGATATTCTTGTAAAATTGTACAGTCACTCTGAGAAGAATCATCTTGATGACAAGAAACTGACTCTCTTTTGCCATAAAGACAATATAAATGATCAGAAATGAGCTTGGGAAACATATCAAAAATGAATTTATAATTATTAGATATTGATACCAAATTAACAGACACAACAAGTCCTTCCCAAAATATTTGTGTATGTTCAAGTTCGGCGCATCTAGTTTGAGCACTAGCAGTATTTTCAGTACCCTCCCAATATTTTTGATAACACAATCTTTCAAATGATTGCCATTCTAACGTAGGTTCTACATCTATTGAAATATTAGTGGATCGGTCAAAAGTTTTAATTAAAGAAAAACAGGCTACCAGCATTAATATAACTTGAACTATAGCTGTATACTGAGCATATTTGGTTTTGGCACAAACAAAGCTAACTGCATAACATATTGAAAGCAAAACTATAAATATGGTTATAGTGTAAATTACATTAGATGTTACTATCCATTGAGTAATAGCAACCACAGGTATAATCACCGACATTAAACCCATTAAAGGCAAAAATAATACTGAACCGACTAAAGCTAATGTAGCTCGATAAAGTCCGTACATTGTAGTGTTATGAGAGCAGAAGGCAAAGTATTGCAACCAACTCAAAGTAACTAAATGAGGTAAAACAGTCTTATAGGATCCGCGCCATTTTTGGGTTTTAGCCATCATAAATAATATAATTGGAATTAGCCCATATAATATAACACGGAAACTAATACAAAACTCTATGCAATTAGAAACAACATAACTAGCAAATGAGGCGAAATTCAATTCCAAATATCTCCAACCTTTAGAAACTATTGGATCAGTATCATAAGGATATCTGGCTAAAACATTAATGCCAAAACTAAGAAGTACTAACGGATCAAAAACGGTCTTCGATTTGCGTTTTGGCATAAAACCAAATAAAGTCATAAACATTAGACAACAAGCTATAACAGCAAATTCACATTCTAATTTATTTGGTGTTATAGAATATACCAGATAATGTATAAAAAGCCCCACAAAAAACCAAGCATATTGTTTGGTATGATTAATAATAAATTGGGTCTCAAAGCTTTGCTCATTCAAATCCCCATTCGAGTAACATATAAACAAACCTCTCCATAAACGAAAATCATGAAGTTCCCTTTGGGTTTGCAATAACTGAAAAGTGGTGGTTGTCATAATAACAAACGAGGCATGAAAAATAAGAGTAGGAAAGAAATCAGCAATATTTTCAAAGCTAGCCAAAGAATAAATTAAGAATGCTAAAAGTTGCACATCAGTCCTGGCTAAAGGCAAAGGTATAGGTTTACTGCCTGAATACTTTATTAGTTTGAAATAAATAATTTGTAAAGATAATATAGGATGCAGAATGGACCAATATACAAAAGGAAGATGGTCTAAAGCTTGCAAATTAGGCTCTATAAGACAAAGGGCATTGTTAACCACTGGCAAATGGCCTTGTGAAATTGTTATAGCTGATGAAACAATGTGATCTTCTGTGAGCTTTTGATTGTTTATTTCAGATCTTTGTGACCAATCTTGATGTTCGTCATCTGAATCCGTACTGTCTTCATAGTTATTAGCTATTTCCTCATTAATGCCTCTATCGTCATTATCGGAATCTCTGTTCTCAGTTGAATGTGACGAGCCACTTTGACCACGATCTATTGCTAGAATTTTCCTCTGCAGCTGGTTGGATGTTATATACTCTTCACCATTTGACAAGCTGAATAAGTATTAAAACTCAATTATTTTGATTTATTAATTGTTGGTGATTTTACCTGGCAAAAACTTCTCTAGCAGCCTTCCTGACAATTTTTTCTTCTTGGCTCATAGAAATGCACGCTTTGACATCCATGTAGTTGTGCTCGCTTATGCCTTTTCCAGTTTTTAGACATGATTTCAGTAGTTCCGTTGCTTCTAGATTTCCTTGGTCGGAAGATTTCAATAGCCAGTAGACTCCTAGTCTGGCATTTTCTTTTTGTTCTGATTTAAATTCTAGAAGAAAAAAAAAACATGTAGTTGTAGACTTAAGTGTACTTTAAAAAAAAACTATGTGAATGGGTGATGGGCGTCTGAAAATGCCAGTGAGACTTTTTCCACTCCATATTGCATTGTCCATGTTTGGAGTGTTGCTAACTTGCCAAGCTTTCTCTCCTAAGGTTTGAATAAACGCCATAATAACATCTTGGATAAGATTTTTCAGTGAAATTAAAAATCAGGCTTCAATTTTAAAGCAAAATATTTTACCACAGTTAAAAAATAAAATGATATTTTCATTATAGACCCAGACAAGTTTTTTTTAAGCACCCACATTATTCTAAACACTGGCGAAAATATTTCATTAACCAACAGAATATAAAATAACGAAGCCCTTGGACTATTACGATAGTTGGCCCTGTACAAACAAAGATCGACGATTGGCGCCAGAGAGTGACAGCTCGGCATCCGATTAGCTGATTAATTTTTGCGAAATTACAAGAATCCAGAAAGTTTTAGAATACTAAAAATCAATCAAGTATACCTGGGGGTAAGTCCCCAACACAAAATTTAAATCCTTGCTTGCAGTGTATAGCCTTTTTTATCCTGTTTCCTGCACATAGGGGGCCATCGGGGGCCCCCGCCTAGTAATATGGAAGCAAAAAGACAAATAGCCATAATTTTACCTACACTTTCAGATATTCGAAACCCTACATGGTCATAGTCGAAAGCAAGAATGAGGATCATATTGGAAACTTGCACCCCATAGACTATTGAAAAACAGTAAAGTCGGTGGAGTTGAGAAAACCTCTAGAAAAGGAAAAAACAGCGTGGGAATTGAATTTACCGATTATATAAGTGCAAATGAATTTCTAAATAATAAAATATTAACTAATGAGAATCTAAACGCCTATATTCCAGTGAGTCTAGTTACCTGTAAAGGTATAGCCAGAGGGATCTACAGAAGTATAACTGAAGAGGAAATAGTTGAGAATACAAAATCTGTAGCAAAGGTTGTTGAAGCCAGAAGACTAAAGAAGAAATAATTGAAAACGATGAAATCAAATATGTAAATACTGAATCAGTGGTGTTTACGTTCCAAGGGAAAGTGATTCCAAGGGCAGTTAACCTAGATTTCTGCGATGTATTAATTTCAGTATACATAAGTCCAGTATTGATGTGCTTCAAGTGCTTAAGGTACGGTTTCACGGCCAAACAGTGCCAAGGTAAACAAAGATGCCCAATATGTGCAGAGGAACATGAAGAAAGAGAGTGTACACAAAACACACCAAACTATTGTAACATGAAGCACACAGCTATAGACAGACAATGTAAGGAATACCTGAGACAGAAAGCAATCAAAATCACCATGATCATAGAAAATATATCCGAAAGGAGATGAAATTATAGGATAGCGACTTGGACAAAGAATAAGTAATTTAGACCATAGAGATTTCCCAGCCCTAAATCATGCAAGAAGAGCTTCGGAAGCCAATACACCAATTGAAGTAAACTAGAGACATCTATACATATCGAGACCCAACACACCAAGGAGCCCTTCATATGCCTCGGCGGCATGCAATCTTAAAAGGAAAATGCTCAGTTCACCAGGGTACGACAGAGAAGCGCACAAAAAATGTCTGATTCCTGCATCAGCTAGAACTCCAACCCAAATAAGCACAAGGGAAGGTTCGGTGGCAGGAAGTGCATATTCCATACAGCCAACATCAATATTAGATGTAATACAAGAAGTCATTGGAAAGACAACCTTGTCTCAGGAGGTGAAGGACATTATTATGGAGGAAATCCACAATGCAACCCAGATATTTGGGGGATCCGATCAGGACACAGACAGCCAATACCTACAGGAAGATGTACACGCTATTAGAGATTTACAGTTTGAAGAAACGCAATATGAAAATAGTACAATGGAACATTAGAAGCATTCTAAAAATTATAGTGACCCTATTGTTTTGATAAATAGCGAAGACCCAGATACTTATCAATGAAACATGGCTCAAGGCAGATTATGTCTTGAAAGTCAAATATTATGTCACGCATAGATTGGATAGAGATGATGGAAGAGGAGGCATTGCTATACTGATCAAGGAAGGCGTGCCGCATATAAAATGTAATATGAACAATAATTTCAATCAAAGGTTTCAAGCAATGGGAATTAAAATGAAACACATCACTATTGTCACAGGTTATAGCCCACCAGACGTCTCACTTTCTATAAACAACATCCATAATAGTCAACCATCCAAGGACCTTTTTTTTCAGTTATACATGTAAACCCCATACTTTGTGAGTGGCTTGCTTACATCAAGTCCTACAACTTTTCCTCTACGACTTTTCTCGGAAATGGCACGTATGCGCGAAGGCGACTCGCAAACATTTTAGGGGTATAGGACTCCCCCAATTTGCCATTATTTTGTCGGCCAAGTTGATTTCCGTGATTTAGAAATAAAAATCAAACATTATTCGTGAAATTAGATTTTCATGTATCAAGAAACATAACCACGTCAGATCGACATTTTGGGGGTATCGGACTCCCCCAATTTGCCATTATTTTTGTCGGCCAAGTTGATTTCCGTGATTTAGACATAAAAATCAAACAGTATTCGTAAAATTAGATTTACCTACATGTATCAGGAAACATAGCTACGTCAGATCGACATGTTTGCGAGTCGCCTGCGCCCATACGTGCCATTTCCGAGAAAAGTCGTAGAGGAAAAGTTGTAGGACTTGATGTAAGCAAGCCACTCACAAAGTATGGGGTTTACATGTATAACTGAAAAAAAAGGTCCTTGGATGGTTGACTATAACGCTTTTAGAGGGATACAAGCTCCATTTATTATTATGGGAGACATAAATGCCCAACACAGCCTATGGGGTTCACAGATTAACAACTACAATGGTAGACACTTAATGGAATACATTGAGGATAGGAATCTAATAATATTAAATGACGGCAAGAGCACAAAAATAACACCACCAAAGCAAAATAGAAGTTGCCCAGACATAACAATGGTAACCCAGGATCTTGGAACATTCTGCAACTGGTCGGTCTCCAACCAGAGCGGACTTAGTGATCATTTGTCTACCATGTCCATATGTGAAATCAGAAAACAGCTGCTAGATCGAAAGCACAGAAGGAAACCACTATGGAAATGGAGAAATGATAAAACTGACTGGGAAAAATATGAAACGGCGTTTTACAAGGGTGGGGAAGAAATTGAGAATTATCAAGCATTCATAGACAAAATAGATAACTCTGCTGGGGAAGCTATCCCAAGAGTTTTAGGATAAAGAAAAAATAAACATACTCCAAAGCCAAACTGGTGGGATGAAGACTGCAACAAATTAACAGGAGAAAGACAAGAGGCTATGGGAAATTACCTAAGGAGCATGACTTTGGACAATTTTCTGAAATATAAGCAATTTGCTGCCAGGACAAGGCGTATCCTAAAGATAAAAAAGAAAGATGGTTTTAGGAGGTTCACGGAAACATTAAGTAGAGAATCATCAATTGGATATGTCTGGAGGGTTATTAAAAAAATTTCAAACAATATAGTAAATGAAGACAAACACACAGACAAGATAGACTGGGTTAGTGATCTATTAGACACACTGGCTCCTCCGTTTGTCGGTAATCACCCTGAATTGGCGGCGAATAGGCGGAAGGAAGGAGATTGCTTTGAAATAGAAGAAGAAGAGTTAGAGATTCAAACAAAAAAGGACACCACTCCAGGATGCGATGGAATTACCTACCCGATGTTGTCAAGAATATCACCTTTTATGAGAGAATTACTTTTGCAATTCCTTAACAAGATCTTGAAACAGGAAGCAGATATTCCGCAGGGTTGGAGAAATCAAATTGTGATTCCGATCAAAAAACCCAAGAAAGACCCTGAAGACTACAAATCCTAAAGACCGATTGTGATGACTTCCTGTTTGGGCAAAGTAATGGAAAACATTCTCAAGACGCGATTAGAGTATTTCTTGGAAAGAAAAAACTACTTCAATGCATTCCAGAATGGGTTTAGAAAAGGCAAAGGAACCATTGACAATCTGGTCATTCTGACCAATGCCATATATACAGCGTTTACCAAAAACGAAGTGGTAGTATGTTCCTTTATAGATATCCTTGCAGCCTATGACATTGTATCAATGGAAAGTCTGAGAGACAAGTTGAAAGAGGCATGAATAGACTTGTGATTACATTTACATTCTCTACTCAGATAGGAATATATTAATAAGGAAGCCGAATAATGGTAACTTAATAGGGTCTCAAAAAGCTAATATGGGGTTACCACAGGGGTCGCCCTTGAGCCCTTTGCTTTTCAACATATACACCAATCAGATTCAGGAAGTAGTCTCAGGGGGGGGGGGGGGGGGTAAGTACACTTCAGTATGCGGACGAAATTGCTCTGTTTGCGACTGGGAAAAAGGTGGAAGAAGGAATTAGGAAGGTGCAAGCTGCAATGGATAGATTGACTGGGTGGCTTAAGAGAAACAACATGGACATATCGACGGAAAAAACTGAAGCGCTGCTGTTCCCCAAAGGGAACAGAAATAATCCAAGAACAAATATAAGGGTGTCAGATAGAGAAATTGAATGGGTGGAGAAATAAAAGTATTTGGTACTAATATTGGACAGAAAGCTGAAATGGAATGATCACGTGGAGTATGTTAGGGATAAGGCGCAGTAAGGTATCAATATTATGAGAGAAATCACAAGAACATGGTGGGGCGCAGACCGGAATATTTTACTGAATATAATATATATAAAGGATTAGTTAGATCCCACTTTGATTATGGCTGTCAAGCCATGTATCACATGAGTAAGATGAATATGAACAGATTGGATCGCATTCAGTACCAAGCCCTGAGAGGGGTGACTGGCTGTATGAAGAGTACACCCATAATGGCGCTGTTATCCGAAGTGGCTGAAATACCACTGGCTAAAGCAGCGTTTTCCTAGCAACGCACATTTTACGCGGCGTAGAACGTAATACGGCCGACGCAACGCAACATCCAATGCGCTGCGTAAAAGTGTTTTCCTAGGATTGTCAGTTGCGTCCCGATCGTCGCGATGAGTATATCAATAAAGAAATTAGCTTTGGCTTTATTATTAGGTCTGCTTCTGCAGAAATCACAAACCAGTCAGAGCGAATTTCATTGGTTGAAAACAGTCAGAAAACTAGTTTCAACCAATGAAATTCACTCTGACTGGTTTGTGATTTCTGCAGAAACAGCCCTATTATTACAAGATGAAAATTTGCAAGAAGAGTTGATATAATAGTTACGATTCATGATAGGTATAGAAATTCTGCTAGTCAATTATTTCAAAAAAAAAAGAAGCGAAGGAGCATTTAGAATAGGTACTTATCCATAAACATCTGCTCGAGGACGAAGTAAAATTTGAAAAGCATATTTTAGAGTTACAAGGCAGCAATTCTCATTTCTCCTCGATCTTGTGAGAAAAGATTCAAGTAAGGAATCATGTTACCGCGTGCGACATCCCATTTCGCCATCTGGAAAGCTTGGCCTAACATTGAGGCATATAAATATAATACAACAGGAGCATTTTCTTTGCCAACACGCAGCGTACAACTGAATAGACTGCTCTCCGTGCAGTCGCTCAGTTGCGTCGACCGTATTACGCTAGCGCAAGTCGTTTTTACGCAGTGTAGGAAAACGCTTCCATTTGATTTTCATTAGACATGTCCTCAGCGTTTTACGCCGACCGAATTACGTTCTACGCCGCGTAAAATGTGCGTTGCTAGGAAAACGCTGCTTAAACGAAGAAATCTTCTTAGCACAAGATTGATGCTCAGGAAAATGGCTTTAAAAGGGGATGAGGTTAACAAGAGGATAATCAACTTCTATGCGTTATACAACCAGGACCCTCCTTATTGGCAGGCCAAGGGCACTCCGGCGATCATGGAGGGAGCGGATTTTGTGCTTGCCCATATAGAAATATTAGAAAAATCGGATTATCTGCCATGTTACGAAGACGCTATGAAAGCTCAAATGCGAATGGGTTGATTCGAACATACAAAAGGATAGCCTAGATGCTCAAGTAAAACTGCATGAAATATTGGAGGAATATATAGATTATCAACATATCTACACAGATTCATCTTTGGACCCTATAACAGCACAGTGCGGAATTGGAGTTTTTAATAACAAAAATAAATTTTCAATAATAGGAAAATGTCAGGATTCAACTGATATTTGCTCAGCAGAAGTGCTGGCCATCTATGCAGCCTTGAATACCTTGGACAATGATAAAAAAAAAGGCTGTCCTGATATCGGATTCCAAGAGTGCCATCGAGAAAATAGTCAGAGCTGGTATTCATAGAGCTTCAGATAGAAGCACGTTAAGAACTAGGAAACAAATTCTAGAAATGCAGGATGGGGGTGTGGAAATTAAAATGATATGGTTGCCTAGTCACTCAGGCATAACAGGAAATGATAAGGCAGATGACCTTGCAGGAAGGGGCCGAAGGGCTAACATCTTTGTAAATAAAATATTACACTATGAGGATCTGGCCAGAATAACTAAGGAAGAAACATGGAGGGAATGGGCTGTGGAATATTCCAATAAGGGCAGAAATCATTGGAACCAGTATCACAAATTAGTGAAGGAACCTCTACGAATGCCATGGTTCAGTAAAATAGAGAAAATAGATAGACAGAAAGCTAGTGTTTTTTGCAGAATGAGAACGGCACATTGCCTCATACTAAAACACCTTTATAAACTTATTATGCAGGACAGTGAGAATTGTGAATGTGGAGAAGTGGGTGATCTGAATCACGTACTATTGAACTGTGAGCTTAATAGAGATCTGACAGACAGGCTGTATGCAAGTTTGATTGGAATGAAGGAGGGTCCGATTCAGATGGAAGAAATTTTGGCGAATCCATCTAGTAGGGAGGCTGCTGTGGTGATGGATTTTATTAAGAAGCATCATATAAGTATTTAAACAGATGCAGTGGATGTTTAACGCTTTCGGTGTTGTGCAGGTTTTTAGGCTTTGTTAATTTTTGTGAATTGAGCTTTGAATTTCATGATAGGTGTCATGTGTAATTGAAATTGAAAACTAATACAAAAAGGTTTTCTACTAGGTACTCAACGAATGCCCTATTTTCCTGGCGCTCCAATTTTCCAGCTGAAGACGCCAAAGCTAAAATTACCCATCTGATCCTATTTTGAAAACTAAAGTATCCACCAAGAGAGTGGAATCCCGCTGTCTTGAGGATACAATTGTTGGAATTCTGGCTGACTGTTGCGAAACGACAAGGGGCCATAAGAAAGTGAGAAGAAGAAAAAGAAAACGAACTGTAACGAAACTAACCAAAAATATGCAAACTAACCAGTCCATGTAATGCGTACTTGTCCTTGAATGATAATAATGAATTTAGAAAAACTTCTTTGTGCACTTTGCTTTTATAAGTCTGTATAGTAAACAAATACGCCTGGGGTAATTGTTTAATATGCAGTCAATCATCAAAAAGTACTTTACTTAGGACATTTGAACTAGTAAAAATGTTATTTCTGTCGCTATAATTTGTCTTGAATAATCGATATAAACAATATCTGATAATCATTTTCAATAAAAAATTCGAAAATACCATAAATCCGTTTAGTAAATAATTACCTAACAAATATACAAGACAAGTACTGCCCAGCTCCAGAGTGATGTTTAAACAGGTTAACAAACAAAATCCACTCAACAGTCTATAAGTTCGATACACCTTGCTTAGTGCTAATAACAGTTTCAAAATTGCATAATTTCCTTAATGAACTGTGTATATTATGGCAAATATATATATATATATTGCAAAGTGTCGGTATATTAGAAATTTGGAATTCAATGAAATAGGGTAATAGCTCTCTCTTTAGGAAATTATAAAGATCTATTAGCAATAAGAACCTGGTGCGATTTGAACAGCCTGTAATACAGTATGCTAACTGCCTTTGAATGGATGTTGGACAAAATTAACTCAATTTTACTACAGAATAAGTTTTCCTTACCACTTTCATGGTCCAGTAGCTGCTTGGCTAGAATAACTTGAGATTCTGGACAACCATCGGAAGCTAGCTGGCTTCTAAGCCGCTTCAATGAAGATCTTTGGGCCTCTAAAGAAAAATCTTTTTTTATCTAAACCTAAACAATAAATTGTATTCAAATGATTTATAAACTTTGTTTCTCACCATTAATGCTCCACTGCTTTCTACGGGGAGCAGATTTTTTTGGAATAACTCCAGCCATTTCGTTAAAAATGTATTAATTGTTCATTGTTTTGCTAGTGGAATCAGTTCATTTTGGATCTCCCAGACTCCGGGAGAAAGGTGCGAGTCTAGGGGAGGGTTTATCGAAACGATAAATCGATATCTACATCGATACTCCCTCGATGAAGGTGCATATCGATACTAAACCTGCTAGGGGATTCCATTTGCTATCGAGATCACGAAATCGAATCGCTTTCGCACTCGATACCAAATACGATATCGAGCAATCCGGAATTCCCATTCGAAATCGTATTCACCAACGGATAGGTCGGTATCGAAATCCGTAGCAACCGTAGCATTCAAGCGCATTTAGATAGAGAAATGCCGCCAAACTTTAAAAAATAATAAAAATCGTCACTTGTAGCAGTTTGTTAAAAGTTGGTTGTTCTTTTGTTAATTTTCTTGAGTTTTTTGATTTGACTTCAACAGATAGATTTGCACTGTCGTATTTATTACTTTTTTTTCTCACCATTGTGGCGGCCACTGATAAGGCTAGGTAATTAGAATTTTTAGTTGGTACAGGTACCAATGAGTAGGTTAAGTAGGTACCACTTTATTTGTTTACTCTCAAATTGTTTATTGAAATTTACTTTATGTAGGTACCTTCTAATAGATTAGTGTCTTTAAAGGTCAAACTGAAAAATGCTTCCAATATCATTCACAATGGTCTACAATGGGAATTGCTCGATGAGAAAGCAATAGATGATTGATTGGATTGCTAGAAATATTTAAGTAATTTTCTGGCTGAAGGGATGTACCATAATTCAGTCCCTAATTTTATTAAAATCTCTGAGGTTCTGTGCCACAGAGCCACCAGTGAGATTTGGGACTTTCCCTTTCCATAGAAAAATAATTCAGTGAAGAATAGAAAAAAACCAACAAAACATGTGTCAATGTTGTCGATTTCATGTCGAAAAGTCGCGAAAGCGAGCAATCCACCAGCTCAGAGCTGGCGAGTAATCCGATATCGTTCTATTCGAAGCGATACCGTTTCATTTCTCGAATGGGAATCGTAAATTTCACCGAAAGCGCCTAATCCGATATCGTATTGTGAATTGGAATCCGGGCCCTGAAAAGAACGAGCATTTTTTCTTCACTGGTGACTGGGCTAAAAAAAAAAAGAAAAAAAGAATAAATCGTGAGTATCGATATTTTCCCTAATATCGATATTAAAAAGAACTAGATGTTTTGAAAGAATTTCGTATCGATAGCTATGAATATCGATAACCCCTCCTCTACAGGAGGAGTCAACAAATCACTTCCTTATTATTTTTTTTTTGTTTTTTTAAAAATATTATATGGTGTATTTTATATTTAGCTCATTTATTGGAATTGGCAGCAAAAACTGAGTAATGCACTCAAGTTATTTATATAATTTACAAAAGTGTCCGCGCTCCTGTTACTACCTATTAAATTATGGAAATACTTTGAAGTAAAACATTAATTAAGAAGTTAAGTGAGTTTTGCTGCATAACATCTTTATCATGGATATGGAAAGTAAGATTTTATACGCTTTTAGAGGCTGGATAGGTTTCGTAGCCTTTATGGATTTGGGAATAACAGCCAAAAGCTTTATCGAGAAACGATCCTTCCTAACCAAGAATTTGATAGATTACAATGATGAAGAGTATACAACATCCAGAATTTTGGGCATGTTTGCTCTATTAAAAGCTTTAGTTTTGATATACAGCACGCTATATATTCATTACAAACCAGTAGTTGACCTGGGACGATGGTCTTTAGCCGTTACAATCCTATTATACTTTAGCGAAACAGTTTACTTTCATGCCTCATCATTGAATCCAACCGTTATCTTTCCATGTGTTTTGAATATAGTTACGTTAATTGGATTGTTCTACTTGCCAAATAAATTGGATATATGGGGCTTACGAAATGGAAACGAAGAAGAAAATGCTCAATTATTGAAACAAGCTGGAGCTCTGAGAAGAGGCAGAAAACATGCAAGAAAGTATGACTGAAGCTTGAAACGAATACTTTTTATATTGAATCGAGATTTTATAGTAGAGTTATTGTAACATTTGAAAAAGTTATAAGCTAACATTGCCTTTAATGCTGCACTGACTAATTAATTAGCTTCACAAATTCAATAAAACTCATGCCTACACAGCTGTTCAGATAATTGCTTGACACCTATTATATTTAGATAAAAATATTTTATTATAAAAGCATATGAATTGGAGATGATAAATAAAGATTTGTTTTAGTTGCATACATTTTTTTCATGGCAGCAGAAAACCCTTTGAAACCTATTATAAAATATAAATTTTGGTGCATATATAGCAGATGGAAGCACTATTTTTCCTAAATTTGTTGAGTAAAAGACCCCAGGGGCTCAATGGTAAATATTTGGATGGCAACTGGCAACAGAAACCCCTACAAAGTGATCAGCAAATTATACATGACCCCCAAAAACCTAGCTATCCTAGTTACATTTTTCTAGTTTAAAATTAATTATAAACAAGAAAAATGTAATTTGTTTTGGCATTTTCAGATTTCCCGCCATTTACATGTCTTGCACTGAAAAGCTTTTGTTTTGGTTCGAAATTTGCAACGGTTCTTGGATTGCGCACAAAAAATATTGGAGAACTGTTCTAATCTGTTCTAGAACAATCCTCAATCATAGAATTGTTCTTATATAGTTCTGAATTAGAGCGAATTTCGCGTAAAAAGAGCGAATTTCACGCAAGTGAGAATAGCTGCTTACGATCAAGGACTTTTCTTACCTAACTTAAAGAATCTAACTTAGTTGCGCGTACGATCTATCACAACTAAGTTAGAATCTGCCTTCCCCCCTTTCTCCTGCTAATCTTGCGTTCGGTATATTGCTCAAAGAGCAGAGCGTGCTGAGCGGAGCCGTAATCACGTGACCAGCGAGCGAACAGAGCAGTTGAACGCTGTATAAAAGTGTCAGAAATTTTAATAAACGAACGCGAATGAGGCTGCACCGAGTACACTTTTCAAATAAACGAACGGTAAAGTCAAGCTCGGAGAACTCAGACCAAAATAACGAACGCACGTCATGACACCCGGATTTTTAACTGAGATAACTTAGCTGACCTAAGTTGGATTGTTTTGGATTTATCGATATTTAATTTGTCTCTATAATTTTATCAATGTTATGGGAAATCATTCCATTGTTGTAGAAAAAATATTGTGTTTCCCTTTTGTTCCCTCTCAATCGACAGACGACAATTGGCTTATTTTGCGCTCAATACACAAATAACTATTGAGTATTTGGTGCCTATATATAATTTTGTCTGAAGAAGAAGAGGATCTTGACTTCATCATCAAGATTGAACTGTCTAGTCAAATATAATCGATTGTCGCAAACAAAAAAATAGAAAAATAAGATAGATGACACCAAATTACGAGAACAAACACACTGCGCATGCCCGCTCTGGCGCTTGCTTTGAAGAGGTGGTACTTTCACTTTCAGAGTCAGCTTTTTTAACTTTCACACGTCATTCCCGAACAAGGATAATACACACTACTAGGAATTGCTTATCGGCCTCGTTTTTGGTAATCGCCGCCATATTGGTGTGTCACCGTTTCCGACGTCATAACTAAGTTGTCAGCTGTTCAAATATCCTAGGTCAAGGCGAGAAATAACATGCTGCTACGTCACAACTGGTGATTTGGAAAGGGGGGATTTGTTCCACACTGGCCTTATGAGGATAGGCTGTAGTGGTATTGTTGTGTATCATCGTTGGTCAGCTATTTGCAATAGCGGTCTAAAGCCTAGTACTCATAACTGCGAAATTCACTCTTTTTTGACATTACGTCAAATTGTCGAAGCAATGTCAAAAAAATGCGAAATTCGCGGTTATGAGTACTAGGGTGTAGTTTAGAATTTTAATTCATGATGAAAAATTTTATTTAATTTTGATTAACATAATAGGCAAAGAGGATGAAAACGAGATCTAAAAAAAAGTTGGTTTAGAATGTTAGTTAAGTAGTAAATGCAAGTATGCATAAATGCAAAGGCTCGCGGAATCATAACCTGTAGTGCGAACAGTCTACGTCAAGGTGATAAACGACATGCTGGCTACGTCACAACTGGTGATTTGGCGTGGTGGGGGGCTTCAGATTCGTTCCACACAGGCCTTATGAGGTTAGGCTATCCTGTAGTAGTAGTGTTGCTTCCCGAACGCATGTGGAGTTGCTCTTTCAGCTCAAAATGTCAATCCCGCAGCCTTATTCTGTAATTTGCGACCGTAGAGACTTGCGCAATTGTCGCTGTCAAGTCGCTGTCAAACGCGAGTCTTCTATTCAAAAAGAGCAACTTGCGACCGGTTGCTGGTTGCTATGTAATTGCTGTTCGTAGAGAATAGGCATGTCGAACACATCTGGAGTGTTTAGTGGACTTGGAGTTTATAGAACACTCATTCCGTATGCACCTACAGTTCGATTACGATTCTGTAAAAACGAACACCCGTTTCATGACATGCGCATGTGCAGAATGATTCCAAACTATGTCTGAGTAATTTAAAATTTTTAATAATTTTTATCTAAAACCAAAACAAGTATACTGGAGTGCGTTCAAAGACGGCAATGCTAATGCCAAAACCTACTATTCCCCTTCTACCGGCGATGCCAAATCTGTGTGAATTCGCTGGAACGTCAAATACCATTTCTCATAAGCAATCCAAACCAATTGACATTCAATATGGCGTGGCGACCATACATGGACCAAAAAACACAAAAAATATCTAGTTTCTGCCCGACTTAATAGTTTAGGTAATTAGTTAACAAATATTTTATTGAATAATCAAAATCGAAGCTGCAAACAAACAAAATAATTGAAATATGCATGAAAACACATAATCAAAACTAACTTGCTGGTCGCCACGCCATATTGAATTTGGTCTCATCCAATCAAAATTCGTATAACCATTTCTAGACTCAGTTGAAAGAGCCTCCAAAACTTACTTTACCGCGGCCGATTTGGAACGTGTAAAGCCAAACGTTTTTGGCACGCTGGAGCCGAACTTGAACGCAATATGCCAATTTTCGCTCGGCTTTAGCCGTTTTTGAACGCAGCCCTGATGCAGCTTGGTGTAACTATAGCAAGCTGTATTCCTTTCAAGAGTTTAAAACACTAGAGCTACTCGCTCCGGTGTTAGTCGCCCCGATTTGAAAGAAACAGATGCGCTGACTTTCGTGCATAAATGGTTTAGTTCGGATTTAGTTAGCAGTACTCAGGTGCAACGTCAAGTCAAACATCTTTCGAAAGGAATAAGCGCGTAACGCCCCGAAGCTGTTCCAGAGCTCCTCATAGGTGTGAAAGGAATACAACTAATATATCGATATATACAGGGTGTTCCTGAATATATCATGTACAAACGGAAGGGGGTGATTCTTTGGTTTATTTTATGACTAAACTTTCTTATAAACATAGGTCCGCAAACGCCAAGGAGAATACACACTCAAGGAGTGCTTATCGGCCTCGTTTTTGGTATTCGCCGCCATATTGGTGTGCCACCATTGCCGACGTCATCACTAAGTCGTCAGCTGTTTAAACAGCCTGCGTCAATGCGAGAAATAATATGCTGCCTATGTCACAACTGGTATTTTGGCTTGGTGGTTGGGCGAAGGGGGGATTTGTTACACACAGGCCTTATGACGATAGGCCATCCTGTAGTTGTAGTGTGTATCATCTTGCGCGAACGCTTCGTTACAGGGGTTGAAATTTTACTGTATTCATAAGGCCTGCGTGGAACAAATTGAAAGTCCCCCCATCACGCCAAATCACCAGTTGTGACGTGGCAGCATGCAATGATAATACACACTACTACTACCGGATAGCCTATCCTCATAAGGCCTGTGTGGAACAAATCTGAACCCAGCTTTGGACTTTGGTTAATCTTTTGGTTACAGCTTTTTGATGTTATTGTTATTATTTTTGAAATTTGTATTGGTGTTTTGTGATTTTGCAGTTGCGTTGTAGCCTGGCACAATGAAAGAAGTATACATTCACTCACTCACTGCAATTCACCATGTTTAGATCGAGGTTTAGATCATCCCCAAAGAAAATCTGTTCGATAAACGAGACTAACGAGAGATTCAGCTCCATTTTTTGTACCTGAACAAAAAACTATTGTTGAAACGAAAAAACAAATAAGAATAATAAACATAATCCTACACTGCTATAACCAATGAACTATAGCTAAAAACTGGAATGTGCACACATTAGTTGTATTCCTTTCAAGAGCTTGAAACACTCGAGCTACTCGCTTCGGTGCTTAGTCGCCCCCGATTTGCAGGGAACATATGCGTAGTGCAACAAACACTTTTCGAAAGGAATAAGCGCGTGAAGCCCCGAAGCTGTTCCGGAGCTCCTCGTAGGTATGAAAGGAATACAACTATTGCCATATCTGCCAAAAAAATGAAGCCATGAAAGACAGATGCCACAAGGGGGAATGTTGTTTTTTTCTGTTGCTCGCTGACATATGACGTTTTCGAAAGTTTTGTCATATTTCCCTTCACAGGTTTCATCAATTGGAATACGTGTTGGAAGCAATTTTCGCCATTTAACATAATGAGTGCGACAAAAACAGGTATCCCCTCCGCAGCAGCCGCACTAGGCCTCACGTTCGTCCTTATGTGTTCGCATTCCAGTTTTTGGTTATAGTTCATTGGCTATAACCAAATCATTTCAGCGGTCAGGTACTGGGTTATGATTCTTGAATGGTGGGGGTCTATGACGTCACACTTGACTGTCAAAGTTGTCAACCAAAAGAATAACCACGGTATTTACCGATAAATAACCATTCCAGGCTGAAAATCGCCTTAGGTAGAATATAACCCGGGTTGTCGAATCGTGAATGCGCCCCTTGGTTAATCAGTCCACTGTCAAAATCAGTGACATCTGTCAGATTTCAATTATTTTGAATATTCACAAAATTTGAAATAGTAATGTGACAGTGCTCAGACATCGATGTTGAACATCGGTTGTGACATCTCTCGATACTATCGATGTCAATAAAACATCGATTGAAAAATATCGATGATTTGAAACATCGATGTTCAATGTTGAGATTACGTTTCTCTGGTTAGTTTTTGGTGTCCTTGTAAAAATACTGATTGAAAACTCATTAATATTTATAAAATAAAGATACAAGACAAGAAAAAACATTCATCTGAACGAAAAGCAAAAACACGAATAAAATAATTACAGGATGAATAGGAATCAAATCATATAAACACCAAAACTCCTAGAGTTTCCAGAAAATACGACCTACAACAAACTGTGCAAATAACAAGGCTAATAATTTTTTCCTTGCCCTTTCAATATATTTCTTTTCTGAGTGTAGGTTTGGCCAGTTTGGCGTACTTTTCGCAATATCCAATATCGATAGTTCAAACATCGATATGTCGGTGTTTTGTAACTTCTGACATCGATGCTAAAACATCGAATATCGAAAGCAATAACATCGATGTTCACGATACATCGATGTTCAAGTCCCATCACTAATTTGAAATCAAGGGAGCCGGAAAATTGGACCATTGGACCTGTTTCTTGGTGTTTCATGTCGCACATAATTTATTTTAAGAAATAAAGAGGCACATTAACGTGATTTTATTTACAAATTATTTTTTATTGTATGGTGACAAGCATTTTCCATACCTACTATGGCACTCCACACAATTATTATTATACAATAAAAAAGTTACAAAAGTATCGCATAATGGAAATTGTTCTGGTTGTTCTAAACATATTTTAAATTGTGTTTAAAACTAATTAGAGGATTATAAAAAGAAAACATCATTTCAATGTTGTACAAATACAATAATATATAATTTCTTCAAAATATAACTGTTCACAATAGTTTTCAACACTCAACGAACACTACAGTCCAGGTTCAAAGAATAATACTGACTAAATGAAATACCCGGTATCGACCCATTGAATAATATGCTAACTTCTTGATGTAGATAATTTGTATACCTGAACATCAAAATGCCAAAAAATAGTTTTTCCTGTGTGCACTTCATTGTAGGCTAGGAATCCCCTAATACTAACCATAAAATTGGTAGGTATCATAGAGGTAGGTATATGTTTTGAACGGGTTTTATTTCTTGAAAACACTGTTTAAAACATATCTACCAGGATGAAATTGAAACTGTGTTTTTCTTCAACCTTGCTCATAATTAATACTTCATCACATCATAATTGGTTAGCATAAATTTTTTTACATCCTATACATCATTATAAATCTAGTCAACAAAAATATAGGTATCATATCTGAGTTGAAATAATAACAATCACATAAACTTTCAGAAAGCAAAATCAATAAAAACGACTTGGTGGTTAAAAATGTGATGGTCGTACCAGGCGTTTCTTGAACGTAGCCCAGGTATAACTTATTTGTTTTCAAAGATAGGCAAATTCACTTGTGAATAGTGCGATATTTCTTATGGGATTTTTCACCTCTCCACTATATCGATATATGGCCTACCAATGAACCCAATTTCTCTGGTGAAAATCTACTTCATAACTCAGAAAGTGGAAATGAGCTTTTAACTCACTTGACTGGCCATGATCCTTAATCTTAGTGCTGGGCCGTAAAATTTAATTTCATGAGCAGCCATAGATGCTATGGCAAGCTCAATAATGATTCAAAGAAAATGTCTTCCTCTGCGATTTGTTTTGTGCTTTATAGAGGAGCTCAAAAGAAGGCATTCCCACCCAAAGAGATGCAAGAATACACTGGACCAAGGTTTTGCAATGTTCCGGGAACCTCATATCTTCAATATTAAATTTAACTAGCAATAATAAACAAAACAAATAAAAAACGAACTCCTGAAGTTTTACCAAACAAAAAAAACGTTTCTATAGACGATAATAAAAAATAAAATAAAATTCTAAAATCCCTTATTTTTGCCAGTTTTATCGCCTCTTTTAATAATTTTGCTGATCAAAAATCAAAAAGCCATGACTACACTGATATTGGCGGGGTCCTAGGGAGAGTTCGGTAGGGAACCTCTTCCAAATTCAAAAAGGCAAGATTCAAATTTTTTAAAAATTACTAAAGCAAAGGTGTTGGATGATAAGAAAGAAAGAATAAAAAGGAAAGTTCTAGAGTGAAATGCAAAAAAAAAGTTTCAGGAATGCAAATTGGCTAGAGCAAGGGCTACCATAATATTTGTTTTTGTTTTTTTTTACATTTCATTCAGGATTTTTCCTTTATATTATTAAAATAAACTTTTAAAATAATAAAGCCAAATTTGCTGGCCTGGGTCACAATACCCAGTACCTACTAAACTTCAGGATTAAATGTAAATAATTTGCCATGGGCGACGTCATTTGGCTTGTCACGATTGTTTGCACATGCACATATTCCTAACAGCCATACAGGAGATTGGTCGTTTCTTTCGACCTCTGTTCTTTGTGCTGCTACTAGTGCTACTCTGGTTCGATTTTTGAGCGTTACCATTCGAATGCCCGGCGCTTCGTTTATGATTCTCTATTGCAGCTGAAAAAAAAAATCTTAGATTATCACAAATGATAATGTATTAGGTACTTTATAAAAACTTGGTAAGATTAAGCCCATGAGGGCAAATTTTCTGAATTGGCGGCGTTAGTGAAAAATGTAAAGTGAAAAATGTCAAGGCTTTTATATTTTTCTAACAATATCACTTATTATAGATTTTCAAGACTACTTTGGAAAGTTGAAGCTGCAGAACTTTTGGCTGTTACTGCCTGAAGCCAATTCCAGCTTTATAGCAACCAGAAGCTAAGAAAAATCTAATTTTCAATTTCCTCTATAACAAAAACTTTCAATGTTAGCAATAAGCAATGCAAAAACTACAATCACACCCTACACTTACATCTAGCGCCACCAACTACTTGCAACCCTAATAATCTGGCAACATTCAATTACCGTTCAGCTCCCGTTCTGTAATGTATTCAGCATCATCCAACATTCCACACTCGTCATAGCTGGCCTCGCTGTTGCTATCATTTTCGTAGTAGTGATCGCACAGGTACGGTAATATTGTCATGTTGTGCCAAATGTCATTTTTAATGGGCGGTATCAGAACCCTGTAATCGCTTGCTGGTGGGTTTGCATTTACCCAACTGGAAATTTAACAGAACTAGATGAAGCAAAATTGAAAATGTGTGGAAGAATATTGAGAGCAATAACAAAGCATCTCTGAAAGTCCCTAACTATTCTAAATCGAGAAGCCAGCACCTTAATAAAGACTTCAATTACAATTTAAAAACTGTAAGAACTGATACTTCTCAAAAATATAAATCATTTTTAATTATATATTTACTCTCGATTCATATACTTCTTCCCTAACAAAAATTGATGTCCCTCCCTAAATATAATTACAATTTTCCAAAATATCTACTTACGGATGTTGTTTGACTTGCTGTAGAGTAAATCGCTCTTCAGGATCCTTTCTGAGCATTCCTAAAATTAAATCTCTAAGAGGATCTTCAATTTCTTTTGGTATTGTGAATATTCCTTTCCCAATACTCTCAAATAATCTAAAGATGTTGTTGCCTTCAAAGGGGTATAAACCAGTGACAAAGTTATACCTAAACAAAAAAATGAAAATTGGAAAAAATCTATCTAGAGCAGATCTGTACAAGTACCTACAATGTTACTCCGGAGCTCCAAATATCAACTTTAAAACCAGCAAAACTCTCACTACCGTTCGCTATTTCTGGTGGTTGAAAAGCGGGAGATCCTTGTCCTATGTAGCAAGTGTCGTCTTTGGCGAAAAAGTCAAATGTCTGCAATAAAAAATCAACAGAGTTAGGCAAGGTTTAAAATATGGCATCGATTTAGAGTAAAGTGCGACAACTGAGTGAACCTTGGTAACGTATGAAGTAGCAGAGGGGAAGACGAAAATCTATACTATACGACGCGACGGGTCCCCGACGTGGTGCATTGCGAAAATTGCGGTTACCCTGACGCGACGACCCGCGTATATGTATATTTAATCTCGCGCCAATCAGGAGCGTTTTGCCCGCATTCCTTCCACACAGGTTCACTCACTTGTCGCACTTTATTGTTACAAAGTTACATAAATGTTCAGGAATTTGTTTCCATTGTATGACAACTGTGACAAGAATTAAAAAATCATATTGTGATAAGTAAATTTTGTTTTTTAAAAAACTAATCCTTTAGGTCATTTTTCACTACAGGTTATAAGGTGGTCTTTGTTCCATTTTGGGGTTAAGGGATGAAGTAATAAGAAAAAAAGCCCTTGGTTGTCGGAAGGTAGGACATAAAAAAGAAGGGAACAGCGAACACGGCGTCACTGACGTAGACGGGTGATTTTCAGCCAGACATACTTCAAGATAAACTTGCATTAAACAAATTAATGATAGAGAATAAGCTTCTTTAATTGGGTCAAACGATTTTGATTACGTTTGGATGTTTTCTCTAAAAATAGCCAGCAGCACCTTTAAAAATAAAATTCTAGCATGATGACTTTCAGAAAAACGCTTAAAATAAACATGGTTATCGCAAAGACATATTAATGTTAGATATCATTATTATGTTATAAATTGTCCATGCCCTGAACATGCACAAATTGTATGCTCGATGGCTAATACTAGCATTGAATATTTTCAATAATAATATTTATGGGCAAAAAAAAACACTGCATGTCATGATTTTCCATCAGCAATACATTATTATAAGATAACATTTTTAGGTGCCTGTACTTTATTTACATGGTGGATTTTGTACATAGAACACAAATTTTCCCACTGAGAATCGTTTTAAAGGATCAAAAAGTATTAATGAACTCTGTAAAGTCAAAACATGTTGTAACTATGGTTGTAGTGAATGAAAAAAAAAAGAGTAGGAAATAATGATTTTGCAAGATTACAAGGTTACTGGTTGACCATAAAAAATTCAAAGAGCCTTATGCAGTCAATTTTGGAACTTCAACGTGCCCGACAAGAAAAATCACAGTTTTTTGTCTATGGTAACTCCAAACTAGAATTCGCAGAGGGTCATTTTAGTATAGAATGGCAAGAATTAAGTTTTTTCCATGTTCATGCTTTAGAAAAAGACAAGATTTCACTGTCGATTAACAACACTCAATCCAAAATAGTCTTGTTAATCAATCTGTCGGTATATGTATCTTATTGAAACTTCAAAAGCAAAATACCCAATCAATAAATACTCTATATATTTTCAAAGAAAGTATTATTAGTAAAGCCCCTGTAAAATTGTAACTAATTTATTCACACTATATATGTCTAACCTCTAAGATCTATAAAATCAACACAATTTCAAAAACATGCCAAGATAAGAATTCCACTTATTTTTAAATTGAACTCTGACAGCCAGAAAAAGAGACGTGTTCAGGTCACACAGTTGTAAAATTCCTACAATCGGGCATTACCATATAAATAAAAATAATTAAAGGATCAATAGAAAATTCCAAAAGAAAACTACGCCGTGCGGTGACCTCTGGGTAAAAGATAGTACCAGTAAGTCAGTGGTGGAAATAATCGCGGAAACAAATGATCGGATCGGTTGTTCCTGTATCAACCATTGGCGGTTTTATTTTAATCGTACTTTGGTCGAAAAGGTAAAATTGTTTATCTTTATTGCTATAGTTTTTTGTGTGCATTTCTTCATGCCTAGGATAATACAATAAGTGGTAATAAAAACCAATTTCTTTCATATTTTAGTACATCATTTGAGGAATTTTAAATCAGTTCACCCTTTACTTGTGTATGTGTTTTAATCAAAAATCGTTGCGTTTTTTAGTGTAATTTGTGTATGTGCAAAAAGTCTTTCAAAAGCAAAAGGGCTAGCCATATTCTGCACAATGTAATAATTAATTTCTTAATCTACAGTATAGGCATTTTTTTCAAATACATTATTTCTGCTAGGTATAAAATGGTGTAGGTATGGGAATAACTTTTGATTTTTGTTGAACACTGTTTGGCAAAGATAGTAAATTGTATCATGTTTTTGTTATCACAATATATGCAAAAAAAATTACATCAACTAATCCGATCAAAAAGATATATGTAAATTCATAGTAGACCTTCACGAATTCCGAAACTAGAGTTGATTGGATTTAAAAATCTAAGTGAAACAATTCACATTCAATAATTGATCTTTTGAACACGTGGTTTCATGTGAATTAGTAAAATAATCTACTTCTAGTATTTCAACCTCTTTAACTTATTTACATTTTTATTTTGAGTGGACTGGTAAGTTAAATAACCCTTATTTATAATTGAAAGTAAGTCGGGGGTTTTCCATAAGGATATATAGAAAATTAGTTAAAATAATGATTTTGCTATATTTTGTGTAAAATTAACATTAGTTTCTTTTAAAATCCTCCATTCATGTAATTTCTATATGGAGTTTTGCATAGGACACTGGGTGGGTTTTTTATGTTGTCCACGTCCACCCTTCAACAAAGAGTTTAATTTAGGGCTTTCATCAATAAACAATTGATATTCTAGTAATCAAACATCCAGAACATTTCATTCATAATGTCCTATCTCAGTTTTTGAAATAATAACACTTATGCAACACTGACATTGAAAAAGTTCAACTTTTGTTAGTATGTAGTGTAGTTGCTTTAATAATATTATATTTTTGTTTTCTCACACAATTAACACAAAATAGAGAGTTTTTAGCCCCTCAATTTTACCCTCGATTTTACCCCTTACTTCACAGCTATTTTTATTTGTATAAGAATGTGCAGTATTGAAATGAAACCCCTTACCACATCACCAAAATATCGAAATTGCTGGCTGAAAACTCTCCATTCATAAAAATATTTTATTTCGATGACTTACCTCTGCAACTCCGAAATCTGAAATTTTTAGTTGCTCTTCCAAAGTCAACAGTAAATTTCCAGGTTTAATATCTTTATGTACAACCCTTTGGCCATGGAGATATTCTAGACCGTCTATCAGTTGATTGAAGTACTCTTGTGCCTGCCTTGGTGGTAATTTCTTGCCAGGAGCAGAATCTAACATTGCTATAAGAGAACAAATAGATTACAAACATGATTTTTTTTTAATGGGAAATTATAAGTAACTACCTTGCAAGGAACCTACACAGAACTCCATAACTATGTAAAGTTTCTTTTTTTCTTCTATCCTGAACACATCTATTAGACGAATCACATTTTTATGGCAAAGTTTTTTTAGCATGTTTATTTCTCTGTAACAAAAAAAGATATTGTCAATCTAAAAATTTATTCAATTTCCATAACCCTAATGCCTAGATGCAACTTGAGATAGATATTTCCGATTAGAAATATTTAGTTTCTGAAAATTTGCAAATAGAAGAGTTTTCAAAGAGTTAACTTTGGGGTAACTCCATTTTTGTAGCATTAAGCTATAAAACACTTTTATTTTGTTTCTTATCACATTTAATTATGTTAATTCAGCAGTTAAATCCAAATATTATATAACTGAATACGCTTAAGATTCTTTATGATACTTATTTCTTATTAAATGTCCAGGTCAAACCTCTTTAGATAAATTATACAAAATAATTATCACTTCTTATAATGCAATTAAATCCATGAAGCGTCGCCAGTTTTAACTTATCCGTACAATAAATAAAATAATTTTTATCATATATTTGCTATCTTTATAATCCAATATTGTGATGCTACTAGAATAAAAATAGAAATTGCATTAACTATAATTTAGTTCAATCTACATTTAGCTCTTTGGATGTTTAGGTTGTTATCATGCTTATTTTAATTACATGTGTTTGTTTATTTTTGGTGTTTGCTCAATTCTTGTTGTTGTATTTGTACATGGAAATAAGATGGTGGATGTAAGTCAGAATACGCATTTAATTTGTCTCAAATAATTTATTTCCCTTCAATTTGGACTTAACTGTTTGAAAAATTTTAATAGTTAAATCCCATACCTATTAGCTATGGAATTTTCATAGTAAAATTTTGATACTGAATAAGTACGTACCTTCCTACAATTCCGTGTACAATTCATAAAAATTCAAATTATATTTGGTTCTAAGATTTATACAGAGAGACTCAAGAAAAAAATCATGAAAAATTATTAGTGGTTCTGTTTCAGGTTTCGAACAAAAATGTCGTCACTCATGTCCTGGCTGATGGGTTCTGCTGTAAGTATTTAACAATTTTCTTTACATTATATGATGTTTTTTACAACCACCCAGAAAATAGTGAAAATAGTCAAACCCGCTTGTGAGATCCTAAATTAACTAGAAAATGATTTATTAACAGTACTTATTCCCCATGGACTGGAACTATAATTTCCTAATTATTACCTTACCAGTTCGCCAGCTGATATCTCTTGTCTTTTACTCGATATCAAAGAAAATTATATGCATCAATGACAATGACCAGCTAGTTCATTGGGTTAGTAGGATAATTTTCCATATCAGTAGTTGCTTTTTTGCTTCGATTTTTTTTATGTGCAATGAATTTGGTGTATGTGTGTGTAAGCTCTTTTATTTTATGGGATGGAAATTGATGATGTCTAAGTATCTACGATAAAAAATTCTAAATGAAAAACCAATTACTACTTGCATTAGACCTATTGGTATAAACCTCTATCGCTTACAATAATACCTAATAATAATACAGGGCCCACTCTTGGTATTCATCTCTCATTATCATAGCCACACGCTGTGATAGAAAGACAATGATCATAATAGTAATGTCTATGTCTGAGGAATATTTTGACTAGGATCTGTCATATTGATTCATAATGCTCTTTATCCTTTAAACAAAGCAGTTGCAAATGCCAACATCTGCAGGGCAATAAGAAGACATTGAAAAGTGACCCTCTGAAAAAAGAATAACAATTGAAAATGTTGTATTGAAAGAAAATTACTCTTGGCCATAGCTATAGTACCTAAGCACAGAAAGTGCGATTGATGAAAAAATTTAGCAACATAACAAATACAAAAAAAAAAAAAACAGAGAGAAAAACAAACAATAAAGTTAAAAGGTCTTTTCATTGAGATAAACATATATATAATTTGATGCCCAAGCCTCGAGAGAAATGTTTGATATATGTAATAGCTTTGTTTGGGTTCGAAAAAGGACGGTTCCAAACAATCACACAGTTTATTATTGAAATTTCTGATAGCCGAGCCGTTGTCATTTTGTTGGTTGATGAACTGTGCGATTGTTTTGAATCGTTCTAGAACTGTCCTTTTGTCGAACCAAAACAAAGCTCATATTGGAAATAATAATTTAGGCTTTATATCAAAATCTTTTGCGAGTTCTGCACCAATGCATTCAAAAAGCATTGATTTGAGTAAAAAATATACGTCATATCAACATACTTAATCACACTCTGTTCTCCATTAGGTATCCGCTTAAGCTTCTTATCCTTGAATATCTTAACAGCCCGTCTACATAATGTCTCAGAGTCCATCATTTCCTTAACTTTCCCATAAGCTCCTTCCCCCAACAGATCTCCCATAACATACTTGCCGATTACCTTCAAACGCTTTTTTTTCATATTGTATATAATTTGATCACTGTCTACTCTATGGAAAAAATTGGCAATATTCACAGTTTCTAAGTCATCATCTACTCCACTCAAGCCGGTTTCTTCAAATTTCTTCAACCAAATTTCAGCATTTTCAGCAGCGTTTATAGGTTTCAGTTCTTCAGCGCTGTCCACACTAAAAATTCGATTTCTGGTGTCTCCATTTTCACTTGCCGGTTCCATGATATCGCCGCTTCCATTTCTGTCGGTCAAATTTTCGTTTTCACTCATGTTAGAGCCCCCTTCAGTTATCAAAATTTCAACAAACGATTCAATCTATTTATTTATATGTAGTTTCACATGTTCAAGCCCCTTTATTTTTGATTTTTCTTTGCATTTGGCTGTCGACAACAGATAAGATGTCGAACAGCTGATTTTTGGTTGGGTTAGGTTAGTTGTTGGGTTGTTGCTTGGTTGTGGGCATCGTTGGCAGCACCTGCACCAAATAAACTAATTGAGAAAAATCATATTTTTCTGTCGCTTTTATAATAATTATTTTTTTTGTTTATGACAAAATTACTTTTTAGTAATCTGGGGTAATTATTGTCATATTTTTCTTCTCCAAAAGGATAAAAGCGTATAATGAAGTACCAACCTAAACATTTGAAATTTATGGGGTGTGAACAGTGTTGCCACAGGCTCTGAAAATTTCGTGCCAGATTATATTTTTAAAAGGGGCCAGATTTCAGAATTTCGGGCAAACCTTATCAAATTAAAAGTAAGAGGGAAAGCCCGCCGCAGGCTGCAGAAATTTTTTTCAGGTGCCACGGCCTAAAAAGTTTATTTGCATCAAAAAATAATGATTTGGCTTGTTATGGAGAAACGGGCCATATTCAAAAAAGAGTGGCCAACGGGCCACTCTGTCTCAGTGATGTGCCTGTGGACAATGTCAACGTAAACAATTGATTGTCTACGTGTAGACAATTCGAATTGTTTACGTGGGCATTTGTCTACACATTGTCTACATGTGACGTAAACAATAAACTTATTTTAGAAAAAAGTTCCAAAATTACTACTACCTAAGTAGCTTATACCTATCACTTTGATATCAGCATTCACTGATTATAAATATGAGGAAAACCGATAATAAAATAAAAATAATTTTTGAAAAGGAAAGTGTGAGGTTAGAATTAAACGTCATTTATATTATTTTACATTGTTGACACGTTGTCTACATTGTCTACATAGTCTACATTGTCTACACGTAAAGAAGACAATGAAAGTCTACGTGTAGACGCACATCTCTGCTCTGTCTTAGAAAGGGCCATATGGGGCCACCTGTGGCAACACTGGGTGTGAATGAATGGTGTGATTAACGTTTATGAAGTTAGCGTCGAAGTCGCCCGCAAATTAGGAGCACGCCAGCCGCACCAAAACAATTTATACATTTTTAAAATAATCTTTACTGCCACTCCCTGGTTTATGAAAAAATGTTGTATGGAGACTTAATGAAGTGTTCTAGAATGCTCATGCTCCCTCAAATTGAATCTCGAATTGATAGGGGATGAGGGTTTCAAAAAATAAACAACCTCAATAAAAGGAGGGTTTCATCTTTTTTCTCAAGATTTTGGAAGGGTACCACTACCATCTCTTGTCGGGGACTTGATGATGGTTTTCAAATCGAGGAGATGAAGGTTTCAAAAAATCAAGAAACTCAAAAAAAATTAGGTTTCAATTTATTCTTCTCGATATTTTGGATTGCCTACCCTACCCCCATAATCTTGAGTGTGTTGAATACTTTTTCAAATCGGTAGCGATGAAGGGTTGAAAAAATCAAAAAACTCAATAGCTGTATTCCTTTCACACCTAGGAGGAGCTCCGGTACAGCTCCGGGGCTTCACGCGCTTATTCCTTTCGAAAAGTGTTTGTTGCACCACGCATCTGTTCCCTGCAAATCGGGGGCGTCTGAACACCGGAGTGAGTAGCTTGAGTGTTTCAAACTCTTGAAAGGAATACAACTAATAAAAACAATAACTTTATTGTCCAAGAGTACAAAAAAATTTATTGACAAAGCTGACTTGAATCTAAAGCCGCGTCCACATTAGTAAAAATTTACGTTGTGCGTGGTATTCGGCACAAATTTGTGCGTGCGATACAAATTTATGCGAGTGTGGACCTGTTCGCCGCATATAGACGCACGCAAAAACTTTCGCGACATTCAACGCACGCGATCCGCCGCTTGTCGGTTTTTTTCAAGACATCAAAGGGATTTGCGGCCCAACATCGTTCTAGTGTGGACTCATTTTTTCGCGAACGAAACAAATAACTAAAAACAAGCAACACAACACACGCTTTGAGCAAGAACGCACGGCGCACAACACAAATATTTTATGTCGGTCAAGATGCCAAATTTGCGCCGCAAAAATTTGTGGCGAATCCCGAATTCAACGCAACGTATTTATTTACTAATCTGGACGCGGCTTAACATCTAAAATCACAGCAGCTTTGTGCTGGTTCGAAATTTGGAACGGTTCTGGGATTGCGCTGAATTGCTTGCGCACAAAAAGGATAATGGAGGATTGTTTTAATAGCTTTGTTTTAGTTTCACTCAGAACTAGTTCGGAACCATTCTGCACATACGTGTTTTCGTTTTTTCGGAATCGTAATCAAACTGTGTTGGCAGTGTTTTGGTTTATCTTAAGGCCTGCTGGTTTCCTCGAACATCAGTCACGGAGAGTCACAGTTCGTCGATCACCGAGGATAGCGATTTCTGCCTGATGCCCGAAGTGGTTTGCTAGAAATCGAAAATAGTTTCCTTGTGCGCGGTGTATGTATTTTGATATTAAAAATGTCTCTGAGCGCTGTAGTTTAGCTGGGCGACTTCACTGTAATCAAACTCAATAGATAAAAACCGATAAGTCGGCACAGGTCTGCGGAGCGGAGCGGACCCGCTCAGGAAAGCGGATTCGAGGTAACCAGACTCAGACTATTTGAAATGCTCTGGTTGGATACAATCGTCAAATCGCGACGGTCGACGGATTGTCCGCTCTCCGCGACCGAATGTTCGAGGAAACCAGGCCTTTAGAACTATTTCAGAAGAATTCTGGGATTGTTCTAGAATGGTTCTCTCAGTTCTTGCTCTGAAGGAGGAAGTGTATTATGTGATTTGCGGTGTGTTTTGGTTTTTTTGGTTCCGAATCGGTTCAGAACAATGGTTCAGAACTAGTGGCGTGTTTCCACTGAAAAGTTGACAACTTTTATGTTGGCAACTCTTCGAAAAGACACCAACTTTGGTTTTCATGGTTGTCCATACCGATTGATGTTGGGAACACGCGTATCCCCTTGATGTTTACCGCCAAAAAACGGAAACACGGTTCTTGACTTTTATTTACAATTTTGGTTAACAACATGGGAAAATTTCAGAAACTTTTGTCACCAACACGTGTTGACAACACAAAAGTTGCCAATTTTCTTTTGGTGGAGAGGAGATGCGCCTTTAGAACAGTCCTCTATTATTTTTTGTGCGCGAGCAGTTCTGCACGATCCCAGAACCGTTCCAAATTTCGAACCAAAACAAAGATTCTACTAGCATTGTTTTGGTTTCATTCAGAAGTAGTTTGGAATCATTCTGCACATGCGCATGTTATAAAACGCGTTTTCGTTTTTTCAGAAATGTAATCGAACTGTGATGACAGCGTTTTGGTTTATTTAGAACTATACAGGGTGTCCGTTTTTCAAGGGCAACCACTGGGATATAGGAAACGGTAAAAGATCTGGGTCGGTTAAATTGGGGCAAAGTTTCGAATGTTGATGCTTAATAAAATGATACTTTGACATTTTGACATAAGAAGAATTCTGGGGATTGTTCTAGAACGGTTCTCTCAGTTCTTGCTCTGAAGGAAGATTCGTTTTGGAATTTTGTGATTTGCAGCTTTTTTGGTTTTTTTGGTTCCGAATCGGTTTAGAACTAGTATTAGAAAAGTTCTCAATTATTTTCTGTGCGCAAACAGTTTTGCGCAATCCCAGAACCGTTCCAAATTTCGAACTAAAACACTGACTTAAATCTAACATCTAAAATCACAGCAGCTTTGTGTTGGTTCGAAATTTGGAACTGTTCTGGGATTTCGCTGAATTGCTTGCGCACAAAAAATAATGGAGGATTGTTTTAATAACACAACAGGAAGGAGTGAAACGTTCTAGAACATTTCCGGAATTGTTCTTGCATAGGTTGTTCTAAATAAACCAAAACGCCATCAAAGCAGTTCGATAACGATTCTAAAAAAACGTCAACGCGTTTTATGCGCATGTGAAGAATGATTCCGAACTAGTTCCTAGTGAAACCAAAACAAAGCTCAATAGGCGATTACACATGGGCGTGGATGGCTTAATACATACTGTATTCCTTTTATACATTGAGTTACACCGAACGAGCTCCTCGGAGTCACTCCAAAACACACAATTCAGATTTTATCATTATTTTTTAATATTAACATTACCGTCATTACCTAAAAGGGCTTCTTGCACCCCCTGCAAATTTGGTGCATCAGGGGAAAGGGGGATGCACTATGAGCGACTCGGCTGCATAACGCACTTTTAAAAGGAACGTTCAAGCTTTTGACATTGAGCAGCTCCGAGTTTCTCAACGGGTAAAAGGAATTGTTGTATTCCTTTCACATCGATGAGAATCTCCGGAACAGCTCCGGAGCTTCACGCGCTTATTCCTTTCGAAAAGTGTTTGTGGCACAACGCATCTGTTCCCTGCAAATCGGGGGCGACTAAACACCAAAGCGAGTAGCTCGAGTGTTTCAAACTCTTGAAAGGAATACAACTTATACGTGCATACATCAACGTGCAAACAACAACGTGCATGTCGTGTTTGTACAGACGCTCGAACAAAACTGCAGTCTTGCTATTCTTGCTACAGTAATCCGAGTGTGCATACAAAATTTCTAGCGATTCCACATTCAAAAACGCCACGGTATTTTGCATACACATTGATGTTTTTGTTTGCGCGTTCATGTATGTACGTACATGTTTTCAGACATCCACGTCCGTGTGTAACCGCCTAATAGCAAACCCAGCATGCATGCAATACGAATAGGCGGTTACACACGGACGTGGATGTCTGAAAACATGTACGCACATACATGAACGTGCAAACAAAAACATCAATGTGTATGCAAAAAGGCGGTTACACACGGACGTGGATGTCTGAAAACATGTACGCACATACATGAACGCGCAAACAAAAACATCAAAGTGTATGCAAAATATCGTCGCGTTTTTGAATGTGCAATTTTGTATGCATACTCGGAATACTGTAGCAAGAATAGCAAGACTGCAGTTTTGTGCGAGCGTCTGTACAAAAGCGCCATGCACGTTGTTGTCTGCACGTTGATGTATGCACGTATATGTATGCACGTATATGTATTAAGACATCCACGTCCGTGTGTAACCGCCTAAATACCGTCGCGTTTTTAAATGTGCAATTTTGTATGCACACTCGGAATACTGTAGCAAGAATAGCAAGACTGCAGTTTTGTGCGAGCGTCTGTACAAAAGCGCCATGCACGTTGTTGTTTGCACGTTGATGTATGCACGTATATGTATTAAGACATCCACGTCCGTGTGTAACAGCCCATTCATTCAATTTGAATGAATCTGAAAAAAAAAAAACAACCTTATAAAATAAAACATTCAACAAAAGTAAAGTGTAATAGTCATCAAAAATAATAATAAGTAAGTATGTATAGTTTGCCTACTGAGAGAAAATCGTTGAAGGTGAAGGGGGAGGAAAAAACGATATAGAAATACACAGTTGCGATGGAATAGAGCGTGATAGAAATATTAGTTCGCATGTTTGCCGCCGTTCAACTCTCACTCGTCAGACTATACATACCTATTCGTTGGTCCCATTGCCTCTTGAAGCTAAAATAAAATTTTATGAAATAAGTTTCAGGGTCTAGAAGTCAAAATAAAAAAAAAACACAATCTTTTGCCAAGGACTTCAATGAGGTACGTATTCTAGAATACTCAAATTGGTATTCAAATCGGTAGACAATGAAGGGTTGAAAAAATCAAAAAAACTCTTTAAAAATTAGGTTTTTATTTGTTTTTCTCGATATTTTAGATGGAGGTATAACTACCATCTTCTACCAAGGACTTAGGTAATGAAGTTTTCTAGAATACTTACTTCCTTGAATTGGTTTTCAAATCGGTAGGGAGTGAAGGGTTGAAAAAATAAAAAAATTCAATAAAAGTGATGTTTTTATATATTTTCGATTTTCTCAAAGCTTTCATCCCCTACCGATTTGTAAACCAATCTGAGAGAGTACCTATTCAAGAGCACCTTCGAGAAAAAAATTAAAAACGCCCTACGAATCTTCTTATAACATGTTTCAAATTTAGATTTTGCACAATTTTGTTCTATTCGTCATTATTTATAATACAAGTAAAAATTATTCCAAAAATGTATTGGTGCGGATAGCATGCTTTCCCAGTCTACAGTACAATTTAAGGCTAGCTTCACACAGGTTAGTGATTACTGTGTTGTCACGTCTTCCACGGTTTGAGCCTAAATCTAAAATCTTGAAGCTGCTGGGGATCAATTTAAACACTTCTGCATGCCTTTCTTATTTTTGATACTATCATTCAAATAAAATAAACAAATAACATAAAATAAATAAGTATAGAAAATTATTGTAATTTTACCTTTTACTTTGAACGAGGCTGTTCGATACCACGCTGTTTCGCTTTCCTGCAAATGCCTAGTAATAAAGAAAGATAGAAATAGGGTGATGCAATAATTCAAGAAAACGAACAGGGTAAAGACAGCAATTACATGTTTATCATTTATTGTTAAAATGAAAAATTCAAAGTCACCTTGAAGAGTAGAAATTACATTACTTTAATAATTTTTCAAATATGTGTGGTTCCATAAAAAATAAATAACAATAAATAAATATTTATATTAAGTACCGGTAAGTTTTAGTTTTTCTGGTTCAATATAAAACTGTTGATATAAAATTATTTTTATTATCAGAAAAATTGCTCACAAATAAGTACTTATAAATGTGTTTAAATATTATGAGCTTGTTTAGTTTATTCATAATCTAAAGCTAAAGTTTGGATTTTGATTTTAAACAACATGACCTCTTAGACTTTGCCTTCGCGTTATTAAACATGCTGTATTTATTTACAAATGTTGCCTTGTATTTCTTTTTTACTATTATATGGTATTACACTTTTGTCTTTATTTCATTGACCAAAAAGGTCATTTTATTATGTGTTCGTTTTCTTTTGATTATTTCTAAGTTCGTAGAGCATGTAAGTCAGTTTAATATTTCATGTATGCTTTGCTGAGCAGTAAAAAGTGTATTGTTTCAGGTTACTGGTGCAAGAGCTGAAGAGAAGCCATCTCAAGATAGTCAAGTTGCAACTACTAGCAAAGACAAAAAGCAAGAGAAAAACAAGACAAGACAACGTACCAGAAAAGTTAATGAGGAGCCGACTTTTAGTACAAAACTAGCAACTATTGAAGACATAATTGAAGAAACTTTAAACGAAGAAAAAAGTGACACCCAAAGTAACTCAGGAAAAATTACTACAAAATCAAAAAGGAAAAGAAAATCCCAAAAAAAAGATTTACTTCAGTTGAAGTCGGATGAAGAAGAAGATATTACCGATTTTGTGTTTGTGAAAGGATCAAATAAAAATCAAAAGTCGCAGTCTTCCACACACACAGCAATAAAAACTGAAACTGAAACCGTTGAGAACAATTTTGATGACTCATTGTTCCAAGTAAAAGAAAAGAGCAAAAAAAATAAAAATAAAAATTCTGAAGAAGCTTTGAACGCAGTTATAGCCCAAGGAATTTTCAGGAAAAAAGAAAAATATAGACCATCTATTATAGAACATTATAAGAATTATCAATCTTTTGAAACACAAATACAAACAAAACAAGAACTTAAAGAAAGCAAAAAAGTATCGTCAACAATTTCCTATGCTAGCATAGTTACAAACACTGTACCTGAAGATCCTACATTTGAAGAAACTTCTATTAGTAGTGAATTAGATGCTTCTTCAGAGCAGAAATTAGAAAAAGAAGTTTCCAGTTCAGTTGAAGTTTCAAGTGGATGTTCTGCTCACTCTGAAGAACCTGGTAAGTGAAATACCTACTCAGACAATTTTATTTTAGCCAAAAAGGTGTGTGGTAAAACTAATTAGGTAGGTAAATGGCTGAGTGTATTTCAAAGCTGTTACAAGTACACTTTTCACTCGACTTGTCATAAGCAGGTCATATTGACTAGTCGCAGTTTTGGAAGGGCAAGGGCTTCAGCAAATTGGTACTGAAGTATCTATTTCTGTTTATTTACGAATAACCCGAACCTTTAAATCAATTTCTCTAGTAAAAGTTTCAGTTCAGCTATACCTATTACTAAGTAGCAAATATTTTCATTTATTAATTATTAACTATAAGAGCTGAAAAAGAGCCCTAACTTTGACATAAAGGTAAATCTGTACTCTGTACAGCATTATTGTAGCTAGAACCTATATATTTTTTAAATCCATTGGCATAGTTCATAGTTTATTCATATTTGTTTTATGAGGATAGGTATTTTTTTTACAATAAATATCATGCTGGTCACAAAAAATTAAATTTTTCTTGGAAATTATAGTTCCTTGCCAGGAAGTCTTTATTATCCTAACATCTTTCCTGCTGCTGACTTTTTTATGTTTAGTAGTGGCAATTGAAAAAATCTCGACTCTCCTTCACAGAAAAAATACAATTTTTCTCTTTGCAATCAATTATTTTTGAGAAACTAGATGTTACATTTTCCGGAAAATGTTGATAGATTTTTTTACTTAGTTAGCTTCACAAAATCTGTCATCTTTTAAACTGTGAAACTCCATTTCTATGAATAACAAAAATTTCAAAATATGTAATTTGGCAGAAAGGCTGTGCCTACCTACCTAATTTTTTTTAATACATAACACCAACACCACATACAATACAAGAGCCACAGATATATATACAGGGTGGCCCATCGAAAACAGTCCAGCAAGGTTTACGACTTGGTACGTAAAAATTTAAAAAAAAAACCTCGGAACCGTAAGCTTTTGTTTTCAGGACACCTTTCACTATCAATTTCATCCCTGTAACCTCAACCCCCTACCCATATTTTTTCAAATGGGAAGGGGTTGTGATAGATCTTTTTGATATCTTACAAGCTTAAATCCCTTGATGAATACAGAAAATAGAGTGCATTCAAAACACTTACCTACCTAAGGTACTTACTCAATAAAATTTCATTTTTTAAAACGCAAGTTCTCCATGGCGCGTACCTCAAATTTAAAAAAACAAATCGGCATTTTAAAGAGAATTTAATGCCCTTTAAAAAGATGTATCACAACATACCCCTTCCCATTTGAAAAAATAAGGGCACTAGCCGCCCCCGCTAGGGGGTTGAGGTTACAGCTCGGGTTACAGGGATGACATTAATAGTGAAACATGTCTCCCTGAAAACAAAAGTTTATGGGTCTGAGGGTTTTTTTGAATTTTTCCTTTTAAAGCTGTAAACCTTGCTGGACTGTTTTCGATGAGCTACCTTGTATATTATCCTATGCATAGATTAACTTTAAGTTAAAAAAATCCATCTTACAACTGTATTCTATTCTGTCAAGTAAGAGTATCTATAAGGTGGCCTGTATAAATACTTGAAGTTAAAGAAAAGAAAATTTACCGAAATACCTACTCAATAACAATTAATTTCATCAACTTTCATATTTTGTGAAAATATTAATGTAAAACAGTCAAAATTATTTTTTTCTAGAAAAATTGTGTCAAGAGGTACATGAAGAGGCAACAAGCAGCTCTAGCTTGGAAGAAACTGTTGTGAACAGTGTCATCGAAAAACAATCAATAATTCCAGAACATAATTTCAACGATAGAGAAGGATTTACTGATCAATTGAATAATGAAGCTTTAAATGAGAAAGACGAATCTGTCAGAGAAGATACTGAAGCTGTATTTGAAATTAGAGGAATAACAGTTAAGGATTTTATTGAAAAGGCAACTGGACATAAAGGAATAGAGAAGTTTGAAGAAAATATTATTAAATCAGAATCTAATTTGAAAACTGAAGAATTGAATAAAATAATTAGTGAAGAATATACCACTAGAGAGATTCAGCTAAATGCTCTTGAATCAAATTTTGTACAGCAGAATAATTGTGTCTCTATCACAAATCATATAGAAACTGAAGAATTTATTTCTACTGAAATTCAACAAGAATTATCTAGTCATCCTGAAACTAAAATAGTTGCTTCAGTGAATCAAACAAGTCAGAAAAAAATTTCTTTAGAAATTATTGAAGATATTATTGCCAGGCAAACTCAAGAAGAAGAAGCTGACGAGCTTTCAAGTCAAATAGTTGAGGAAATTTTGCCTATACGAGAGGCAAATCACATTGATTACGATAATTCAATTGAATTTGTTGAACATTTTATTACAAGTGAAACTCAACAAAAACCATATCAAGATTCTCTAAATTTGGATACTAAAAAATCCATTTCCGTTGATAGAATAAGTCCAACTGAGAATATTGAATCTTTCCAATTAGACAAACAAGAAGGCGAAGATATGACTCAAATAAGGGTTCTGACACTCAACAATAAAGAGCACAACGAATCTACAATTTACAGAATTGAAAAAAAATTTATACTCCAGTTCAGATTGGGTCCATCTTTGCTTGGTAGAAAGATAAAATTGTATTGCAACTATCCTAAAGACAACTCGGAATTTGAAAGAGGTTGCTATCAGTTGCTTAATTGGTGCCAAGATGATGGATGTAAAAATGCTGATGACACTGCTTTGTCTGTTCAGATAGTTGCTAATATTGCTGGCAGTTTCCATTATTATTTTATTTATGAAGATGACAGCAATGAAGACAGACAAGGCTCTGGCTACTTTATTGTTGATCCCTTATTAAAATATGGATCAAATGAGGTTTTGCCACTAGACTCTATCCAATGTCAAACAGTTTTAGCCAAGCATTTGGGACAGTTTTCAAGCTGGGAAAATAAATTACGTGTTGCCAAAGAATCTGGATATAATGTGGTTCACTTTACACCAATTCAGGAATTGGGAGCTTCAAAATCATGTTACAGCTTAAGTGAACAACTTAAACTGAATCCTATGTTTAACGAAGCGAATGGAAAGAAACCAACATTTGATGAAGTTGAGAAACTGACTACAAAAATGAGGAAAGAATGGAAGGTACTTTCAGTCTGTGATATTGTTCTGAACCACACAGCAAATGAAAGTGAATGGATAAGAGAACACCCAGAAGCTACATATAATTGTTTGAATTGCCCCTATATGCGTCCAGCTTACCTTTTAGATGCTGCATTGCATCAGTTTTCTATGGATGTCAAAAAAGGACTTTACGAAGATAGGGGTATCCCACCCGAAGTATCTACAGAAGACCACCTTAACGCAATTCGCTACCATTTTAGAATAAGCGTCCTAGACCCACTAAAACTCCAAGAACTTATAATTGTAGATGTCAATAAAAACATAGAAGAATTTTTAACTCTTGCCAGAAAAACTCAACCAATCAACGACAATGAAAGAGAGTCTTTGCCTGATATCGAAATCATTCAAGATCCAGAATATAGACGGCTTAAAAGTACTATCGATTGGACTTTGGCTTTGAAAAAATACAACTTATATAGGCTGGACTGTTTTGATGAGGAAGCAAGAGTAAGAAGGTGTGCTGAAGATTTCAAAAATAAGCTTGATTCTCTAAATGAAATATTAATTCGAGAACTTGGAAGAGATTTGGATGCGGCCATGGACAATGTTATTGCTGGAATTAAATATTTTAGAGTACAAGGTGATGGACCGAAAGTTAGAGAAATAACTATTAGTAATCCTTTGGTTTATAGGTAAGATATAATTGATTTTGTCTATTTGTTGTTTCTTGTTTTATTGATTATTTTATTAATTTCATACTTGTGAAACACAGCTATAATGTTAGGTATTCGTGTTTATAAAGATTCTCAATTCTCCACCAATTCTGGCTCTCATCTCTACTAGGAGTATCTCTTATTTGAGCCATCGCAGTTTATTTTTACTAAATTTTTCTGTTTGAAAAATAATTTCAATATGCTTGATAACTTGGACAGTTTTCAAACAAAATTTATAGGGTATAAATTACTGTTCTTTTCATTTGTCTGTTTCAATAAAAGCGTGATTTTTAGCTCTGCGGCTAAAGTTAGGTAACTCAAGTCTTCCTGCAATAATTAAATATTTCTTAATTTTTCCAGATATTTCACTGATTTTGGTACTCCAAAGTTGCTAATTGAACATGAAGAAATCATGTATAGTGAAAATGGCAGATTTCTTATGGCACATAATGGTTGGGTAATGAATTCTGATCCTTTAAAGAATTTTGCTGATGCTGGTACAAAGATCTATATTCGCAGAGAACTAATAGGTAAGAAAAAATTACATACTTATTCATTCTAAAGCAGATGGTTTTAATTGAGACCTGAGTTGCTAATAAAAAAAACCCTCAATTTTTTTTCAGCCTGGGGTGATAGTGTCAAATTACGTTTTGGCAACGTACCCGAAGATTCCCCATTCCTTTGGGATCATATGAGAAAGTATGTTGAGCAAACTGTAAAAATTTTTGATGGTGTTCGTCTGGACAATTGCCATTCAACCCCGATTCCTGTTGCCGAATATCTTCTGGATTGTGCTAGAAGAGTTAGACCTGATTTATATGTGGTTGCCGAGTTGTTTACAAACTCTGATTTAACAGATAATATATTTGTTAACAGGTAGAGACATTTTTTTAGTAGCATTGTTCTGTTAGGTATTCTTATACTATTTTCAGTTTATGCAGAAGTTAATGTAGCAAACCTGTAAAAGCAATATTGCAGGGGAGTGACTGGACATTGAAACTGTTTTATATTTTAAGGTTGGGTATAACTTCACTTATCCGTGAAGCCATGTCAGCCTGGGACTCTCACGAAGAAGGTCGCTTAGTTTACCGTTACGGAGGCGTTCCAGTGGGATCTTTTTACCAACCCAATGTGAGGCCTTTGGTTCCTATGGTTGCCCACGCTTTATTCCTTGATTTGACTCATGACAACCCAAGTCCAATTGAAAAAAGATCTGGTAATAATTATCTTGTAAATTTCTCTACAATCCAATAACTCAATTTTATTTCCAGTTTTTGACTTACTACCAAGTACAGCCCTTGTCAACATGGCCTGTTGTGCTAGTGGATCTAACCGCGGCTATGACGAATTAGTCCCTCATCACATCCATGTTGTAGATGAAACCAGACAGTATACAGAATGGACCGAAAATGAATCATCACTTTCTGGAAATGCACAATACATTAACAATAAAACAGGAATTATAGCTGCAAAAAGAGCTTTGAACGATTTGCACTTTAAATTAGGCAAAGAGGGATACAATCAAGTGTATGTGGACCAAATGGACCCTGATATTGTTGCTGTAACACGTCACAACCCTGAAACTCATGTAAGCTATGTTTTGGTAGCTTTTACAGCTTTTGGGCATCCTGATATCAATGCAGGGAACTACCAGAGGGCTATCAAGCCGCTTAGAGTTGAAGGAGTATTAGATGAAATTGTTTTGGAAGCGTCTTTAAGCTACATTGATGAAAAGTAAGTGACTATTAATGTTAGATCCGTTCTTACTACCATTTTAAAGGTCATTATCATCATAGGAATTATCTTGCCAAGTAATATTATCTCTGGACAGCATCATTATCTTTTTTTTTTTAATGGGTCAATAAACATTCTCTGCAATTTCTTCCACATTTATTGCACTCCTAGCCAGCGTAAGCCACTTGTTATTATGGACAAGCTCTTATCAGATTATAAAGTTTTTTTCAGAATTTTGTTCCCTATGGTTGCTAACGCTTTATTCTTTAATTTGGCCTTGATTTGATTTGAAACTCTTCTTTTACTAATCCCAGAACAATTATCATTGAGATGATCGACAAGCTGACCTTTTTGAGCAAAGCCTAAGTACCTTGCTTTTGTTTCACATAGTGCAGTGATATTGATGTTGAATCTGTTTAGCTCACATGCTACATTTGCCGTTTTCCATTGTGGTCTGTCACTGTTTTTGGTGCTATGTTTAATTTTTGTTGGCTCATTGTATTGCGATCGCATGTGGCGTACCTTCCGGACGCGGTAATCCAAAAATCTCTTTTATATTGAGACTGCTAGGAGCTGAAGAAACTAGAAAACAGAATCTTCCGTTTGTCATGAAGGTAGAGTTTGTAAGGTGGGGCAAGTTGATAGAAACAAGTAGATGACATGACCCATTTGGTCGCTATAATCAATCTGTTAATGAGACGGTTAATTTTTGGCCAGACATCCATTTAAAAACTATCATGGTAATAAACTACCAATTCTTGAGCGGTGACTTATATCAAGTGATTTTAAATAAATTTCTTGTCTTTTAGATCCCGATTTGCCAAATTTGAAAAGTTCACTCAAGATTCTAAATGGATCAACGGTCTGACAAACTATAAGGTTTCTATCAAAGAAAATATTCAAGTAAATCAATCCGATATATTCGAGGAAGCAAATTCTGGAAGTTCCAACATCATCCAGCTCAACTTCAAAAATTTCAAACCTGGAATGATTGCAGTAGTGAAGTACGTTTTAACCTAAAAACTATAAGTTAAATAATATTTTTTATGTTTATATATATTTCAGGGTTTCATTGCCAGAAGATATGAAAATATCTATAACAAAGATTAGAGGCTTGATTAACAGCCTTTCGATTAAGAAAAGTACAGAATTGAAACAAATTGTTGATAAAATGACGTTGGCAGACTTGAATAGGGCTTTGTATAGGTGTGATCAAGAGGAGAGAGATGAAGGTAAGTTATCTTATTTACTCAAACTATCAAATCTAACAACATATTCTGTATTTCTTAGGTAACGGATTCGAAGCCTATAATATTCCAAACTTTGGACCAATGGTTTATTGCGGTCTACAAGGATTAATGTCTTTTCTGGCAAATATCAGACCTAGCAATGACTTGGGTCATCCTTTCTGTACTAACTTAAGAGATGGCAATTGGATGATTGAATATATTTGGAAAAGATTGAAAGTTGACCCTGGAACCAAAGAATTCGGACAATGGATTGAAGAGAACACAAAATGTTTGCACAACATCCCAAGATATTTGATACCATGCTATTTTGATGTTATCGTTACTGGGATCTATATTGCTTTATTAGAACAGAGCTACAGCCTAATGTCTAAGTAAGTTGATATAATTTCCAAAATAAAAATGTTCATAATTTTCTATCTAATTTTTAGCTTTGTTAAGAATGGATCTACATTTGTCAAAGGCCTATCTTTGGGTTCATTGCAATTCGGAGCCTACATTAGATCAGCTAATCTACCAGTTTTGTCTCCAAATTTGGCACCACCTAAACCACCAACAAGAAAAAATGAAAATGGAGAAATTGTACAGGCTTGTGTTACCCTATCAGCAGGTAAATGAATATTTGAATGCTTTTGTATCTTTCATTATCATGTTTATTTCATTGCAATCTGGTCTCTAAGTGCCGCTATTATAAAGTCTGGTTGACCGAAGGTTGAACTGGAATGTCCTTTTGAAATCATACGGCAATGTTGGTTCGACCGCTGGTTGAAACTCAACCTTCGGTCAACCAGGGTTTATAGTACCAGCCCTAAGAGAAATTGATAAAAATCCTCACCTGGAGGTTAGACTTGTTCAGAATAATTACTCTAGTTTCTTCTTTTGCTCAGTTCGGCATCTAAGGTAATGCCCAGATACTTTACTCCATTGGCATGTGGGATTGTCGCATTTCTTATTGATGAAAGTGATGTGAGCCGACTTCGCATCTTTTTCTGCTAATTGTAATTTGTCGCTGAAAATCATTTGCTACTTCATTACTTTGCATAATGTTGACTTAAAACAGGTTCAAAGACACTACGCTGGAATACGCCAGCAGAAATCTGAAGGTTAAAATATTTTTCACAGTGCTTGATTTTTACTTTAGGGTAAATTATTATCTGCGAAGATTCTTAGTTATTTGTTGCAGAAAGACTTTTCCAATTTATATTTCATGCTCTGGTACCCATTCGTTTGTATTCACATTTCTTAGTATATTTTTTTTTCAGGTTTGCCTCACTTTTCTGTTTGTTACATGAGAAATTGGGGCCGCGACACATTTATCGCACTAAGAGGCCTGTTCATTTTAACTGGTAGATTTGAGGAAGCCAGACAACATATTTTAGGATATGCTGCTTGTTTAAGACATGGTTTGATTCCTAACCTGTTAGATGGTGGCAGAAATTCAAGGCAAGTTTATTTATAAATTGAGGAGAGTTGGATATTGGTCCTTTGAAGATTAAATTATTTATTTATTGCCAAATATCTAATTCGTAATGATTTAGGTTCAACTGCCGTGACGCTGTCTGGTGGTGGCTATATTGTATTAAATCTTATTGCCAAGAAGCTCCTAATGGAATTGCCATTCTATCTGACTTGGTATCACGAATTTTCCCTACAGATGATGCTAGTCCCCAAGCTCCAGGGGCAGTCGATCAACCACTATGTGATGTGATACAAGTAACTTATAAACTAACTCTGTGAATTGTTCATCTGAACTACTATATCTATTAATTTCTACAGGAAGCTCTAAAGATTCACTTCCAAGGACTAAAATTCCGTGAACGCAATGCAGGTAGGCAAATTGACGAGCAGATGACTGATGCTGGTTTCAATAATCAAATTGGTATTCATCCAGAAACGGGATTTGTTTTTGGTAAGTCCTGAATTTATTCATGAAATTTTAGGATAAATTGTGAACATTGCAGGCGGAAATCAATGGAACTGTGGTACTTGGATGGATAAAATGGGATCATCAGATAAAGCAGGCAATAAAGGAAAACCGGCAACGCCACGTGATGGGTCTGCTGTAGAACTTGTTGGCCTCACCAAAGCAGCTGTAACTTGGTTATGGAAATTGAATAAAGAGGGTAAGTAGGTAGAAATTTGTATGAATAAATAACTGAAATTTATGGAAAACATAATTTCTGCATTTACCTAATAATAAATCATTTTTAATTAAGGTAAATATCCCTACGAGGGCGTAGAACGAACGCACAAAAGTGGCGCTGTAACAAAGTGGACCTTCAAAGAATGGGCTGAGAAAATTCAGGCTAACTTTGAGAAGAAATTCTTTGTCGGACTAAAACCTTCAGCCGACGAAGTCAGGCCCGATCTAGTCAATAAAAAGAATATGTACAAAGATTGCTTTGGTGCGTCACAATCTTGGACTGATTACCAGCTCAGATGCAATTTCCCCATTGCTATGGTAGCGGTAAGTTTTTTTTTTTGTAAAACCAATTTTACATTTTATTTATTGATAATTTTTTACAGGCTCCAGAAATGTTTGATCCTCAACACGCCTGGGCAGCCCTAGAACAAGCTGAGAAATATCTTTTGGGTCCATTGGGAATGAAAACTCTGGATCCGGAGGACTGGAATTACAGGGGCGATTACGATAATTCAAACGACTCTGACAATTTTAACTTGTCAAATGGATTCAATTACCACCAAGGACCTGTAAGTGACTTTAATTTTGTAAACTGCATGCTAATATGTTTTATCAAGTTAGGATAAATTTCTTGGAAACAATTGCTTGGCAAAAAGGTACCCTCTTAGGCTATTTCCTATTGGAATTTCTGTGTTGATAACATATTCCAGTTTACACTTATTTCTGAAGGAGGTAGTTTCTAATAAAATATAAAATTTAATTTTTTAACCTTGGTTTTTTTACATATTAATGGGATTTCATCCAAGTTCAGGTGTGGCTGGTAATGATAATTGCCCATATTTAGGATCATTAGGGTCTATTCAAATGTGCTTTATAAATTCCCTGTTAGCCTATTTACTATGTCTTGTGCTTCAGAAAAAATCTTGAATAAAAAGTTTTCTTTGGGACCTTCTACTCGTTATAAGTGCATTCCTCCACGCATGCTTCTTGCTGCCATAATAATGCGATAACTTAACAGTTGATGGGTAATTTTTAAACGTAAATAGCACTTATCATTTTTTTTGTCAGCTTGTAGTAATATTTACCTAAAATTTTTCTGTTTTTCTAGGAATGGGTCTGGCCGATAGGTTTTTTCCTTAGAGCCAAACTTATATTTGCAGCACAAAACGGTATGTTAAGGGAGACCCTGGCCAGCACAAAAGTGATTCTTTCCAAGCACTTTACTGAGTTACAAACATCTCCTTGGCGCGGTTTACCTGAATTAACTAACAGTAATGGAGCATACTGTAAGGATAGCTCTCGAACGCAGGCTTGGAGTATGTCTTGTGTGTTAGAGGTGAGGAGTTTCTTTCTATTTCTGTGGACTTTTCTTAAAATATTTTCTTTCAGGTTCTCTATGACCTACAACAGATTGAATCGAAACAAATCATAGTGAACTGACTTAGCGGAAATTTAGTTTTTAAGCAAAATGAGGTAAAAAAATCGCACATTTTTGATACTAGTAACAAATCGATCTCTCCGCTCTTATCAAAAATCCTTCGACGCCAGAAAATTTACGCCGAAAATAATTTCTCTCTTAAATCCATGGATACCAAAGACTGCCAAATAAACTCGACATCCTCACTGGTTATCAAAGATGTGTTTTTTAGTTATAGTGATTTGTATATTAAAGATAATTGCAAAATGTTGCATAGCTGTGAGACTAGTTTAGATTCATTCAATCAAACTGATACATGCTTATTAATTCAAAAAAATGATAACTTTATGAATAATTTTATGCCTTTTTATAAAATATTTTCAACAATGCCCTCTGAAGGAGTGTTACTAGATTTATCAAAAAATCCCAACAACTTTCTAAAGTCACAAATAGCTAGTGCTGCGAATTACTCTCCTATATCCAAATCTGTTAATTATCATTTTATTTATCCATACCATAAAAAACGTTACATGTCATATTATTCTAGAAATAGTTGTTTTGAAATTAGAAAACATAGAGCTGCTTTAGATTTAGATGAAATCGTTCCAGTTGTGGAAGAAAATTTACCACAAAATTTGCCGATTTCAAGAGCTAGATACGCTAGCGACGAAGATATTTTGATCTTGGATCCTTTATTATTAGAAATTATGCCCAGAAAAAGAGCTAAGCCATTATTGACCGAATCGGAGCATAACAAGATCGCTAGAATTACCATAACGTATATTTTGGCTTTTTTTGCACTGGTTTTAACTACATATTTTATTATATATTTAGCATAAATTTTGTTTGTTTGTGTATTTATTTTTTGTATCAATTGTTTATAAAAATATGTATGTGTGTTAAAATATTACTTCCGAATATAAGGATGTGTGAAGTGCATATATTTTTTTGAGATTATTTTAAATCAAATTTGTTGATATTTATTGAATGCAGAAATCATTAAAATTAATCATGAAACATGTTTTGTTTTTTTTTTGGACAAGTAGTTCTTCTACCGGACACACAAAAAGTCAGACATAGGGGCCCTTTTCTCTAACGCCAATCTACCCAGTATTATCAGCAAACTTCAAATCAAATATACCTAGTTTATTGTCTGAAATTGAATTCACTTGCTGACAAAGCTAACAACATGATACCAATCTAACAAAATAACTAAAATAACAATGGATCAATTATTATAGAAACGCCCAACAAAGATTATATGTACTTAAAACAAAACTAAGAAGCATGTAGAATAAGTGCAAAAACGTATATATAAAAAAGTATTTAATTTTTTTTATCAAAGTATCTACTATTCTGTAGTAGTTCAAGATTATGCAAAAGAAAACAATAATTATTTGGAACAACAATAGGCAGTTTTATTTAGTCTAGTTTTATACAAATTTAAGTTGCAGATTTGCTCCCTCTGAGGGAGCAAATTTGCAACTTATAAATGAAGAATAACAGTAAAATTACCAAACTATTCGACAATAAAAACATAAATTGAAATAAGTTCAAGTAACATTTTCATTTAATTTGCATCTCGCCAGTTCCATTCCATTCGAACAAATTCAGGCAGTTTCATTTACATCTATTTCATAATCGGTTAGAGGGTCAATTAAATGAATCAATTATCTGAACTTTATTCGTAAAACAAAAATACATATCAAAAATAAAAACATAAATCACAATAATTATTTCAAGAAACATTTTCAACACAATCAACTCATCTTCCTACTAATTCCATTTTATTCACGGGGATTGAACAAAAATCCCTCGGTTAAAGGGTTATTAGTTTCAACGAAGGTTTCAACTATGATTGAAATTTTTTCGTTGATATAGAAAATTATTTCTAATTACAAAAACATTTTAAAATAAACAATAGCGACGTAAATTACGATAATTTCAAGAACATTTTCATACAATAATCCTGGTCCTTATCTCTTCATTGGCCTCGGCAAAAAGACGTGGTTGAATTCTTTCCAGGGCTCTCCATCCTTCTGTATTTGTAACATCTTGGGCAAAGGTAACAATAAAATCTATTGCGTGGTGCTTTAAAATATCACACCGGTGTAAATCTGCTAAATATAACACTTCTGCCGAGTGTTCTATGGTCATATTTCTTGACATTTCGGCTTCACATATGGATTTTAAGTGCATCAGATCGTATTTGTCCGCAGGCATCAAGAGCTCTTTAGCCATGTCTGACTTTGGAGGTTCATCTGTGTATATGAAACGTAGCATAGCTTTGAAGACGTCATATTCAATATCAACTATTAACACTGTGCTGGTAAATTTTTCCAGCATGTCGCATTCGAACATGGCTCGAAACACTTCGCTTCTGAGAGCCAAAATGGCTTTATGAGCTTTAACCGCTCTGTCTCCAATCAAAAAGGTAGTATCGGTAAGTTTCTGGTTTTCGAATAAGTTAGTATAATACTTGGCCATCTCCGACTCAAGTAATGGCTCGGCTTGATCTGGAATATTGGGCTCAGGATCCAAGTAAATTATAATCTGACCTGCTATGGTAAGTTCGCCGTTTGGTAGGAGCTCCTGGGATCTATTGAACAAATCGAAGCGCCTGAAGAACCTCACGAAGCCCCTTTTTTGTCCCTTGACAAAGGTTTTAGGCCGTCGAAATTTCATTGTTCTTTCGGTTTTATTGTCAACATTCATCAGACGGAATTCAAAGTCGGCTGTTACTTTTGTTTTTTTGCTGTTATTTAGCAAGCCGAGATACAAGGAAACGTAATCCTCACTTGTCTCATCTACTCCTTTTGGATACAATACGAGCAACCATTTCGTACAACCATGCTTCACTACAAAATTTTCCCATACTTGTAAAAGGCGAGGCCTCGCAAAATCGGGCACAGTCCACGTAAAGGGCACTCTTTCCACTGGATTCAACAATAACTGGGATTGACCGGAATTATCAGGCACTCTTTCCACTGGATTCAACAAAAACTGGGGTTCATCGGAATTATCATCCATTTTTTGATATCAAATAATTTATTTAAAAACAGAAACGGTTTTCTGACAGAACAGTGTTTCCTAACTTAAACGCCATATTGTGGATATTTGAATAATGTGAAAGGGATTGTGATAATTAATTTTGTCAGAATATCTTCTGTCTAATAACTTGTTAATGTTAGAGAGAGACAACAAGTGATCTGCCTAATCGGAGAAGATCTGACATCATCCAGTAGGCTACGCGTATATGCGCAATGTACGTAGTAATCTGATTATGTGTTGTCCTTCACTAGTTTGCATGTAATAAAGAGAGAACAATATTCTAGTGAACAGAACGAATAGAATTGAAGGTATTTTTTTTCGGATTTTATTGCCATTGGAAGGGTAAGTCCGCACTGAGTGTATCGTGTCTTTTTCTACCAGATTTGTAAGTTGTTGTTGTTGTTTGAAAGTTGAGAAAAATTCAACAAAATTTCGCTAAAAATCAGTGTTGCTATTTGTATGGACTGTAAGGTGCCGCAAGTGCGGAAAAGATATTTTTCCGCACGATTTTCACTTTTCCGCACGATTTTTACTTATACGCACGATTTCCACTTTAAGACACACTATTGTAATTCAAGATAGAGTTACTATTTTTTACTTCAAATCAAATTAATATCTATAGGTATTATTTTTCATTCAGAAAACCTAGATCTTACACAGAGCTTTTGATCAATTTTTGATAGATAATATGGACAAAAACAGTCGTAGGAAAAACATTGTACCTAACTCTTACGGAAAAGTACCACTTTCCGCCAACTCTGAGTGCATTCAGCGGACGTACCAAAATTGTTCGTTAATTACCTTAAATAATGATTTTTTAACAAAAAAAATTATTAAAACAGTCTCGTTTTGTTCTCGTCAGAATGTGGTCGTTTGGTTTAAAGGGGGTGTGACCCAAAAATGAAAGTTGTACTGCAAAAAAATCTAAGAATAAATATTTGAACCACATCTTGCTACGATGGTCCGTTTTCGAGTTAGGGCGGTTTAAAGTTACAACTACGTGTTTGTGACGTCACATCGAATTATCAGGCACAGTATTGACAGGTGTAAAATTTTCCAAAACAAAAGACAATTATCTCACTAAAGCGAATTGCAACCACTCAAAGTATAGGGAACGGTTCACTGACGAATGAAAGAACAGAAGACTGCGATTTCAGCGGTTGTGACATCACAAGCTCCTGCATAGTTTATCTTCACAAGGAATTTTCGCGGAAAGTATTTTGAATATAGAACTGCGGTTTTCACGAGAGATCTTAGATTTTTTTTCTAGATTTAAGTAGCTTATTAAGTCGTTTTTTAGGGTCACACCTAAGCCTGCCATTCGTCCAGGGCCGTAGCGATATGACCATCCCTAGGGGGGGAGACTGAGATCCGGCGCCCCCTAAGCGCCGCGAAGGTAATTCAAAAGCGAAAAAAGAAATGACGTTTTTGCAACTTTGACAGACTATAAAACCTAAACGGTCAATTTTTTAGACTTTAGAACAAAACCGATCTGACATTCGAAAATTCCTTACAGCCTGGCAAAGTTGCAAAAAAGTCAAGTTTCAAATAACAATATTACCAAAACAGTTGAACTTAGATACAGGAATGGGTATAGGGCAAGAATCGTAAACTCTACAGGATTGCTCAATCCCATAAGACAAACGTTCATAAAAACATCGAAGATGGCGGTATGCGAATGACGTCACGCAGTCCTTGATCGGTTTGTGTTTTTTATGACAGTGCACTATCCTTGCATTTTCAAACGTGAAAAATTGTTATTTTGAGGTTATTTCCTTTGAAAACTGTATTTTGTAATTAATTTATTGATTTTAAAATTAGCAGACTTCAAAAGCTTGTGTCCTTGAGGCTTGAGTGGTTGGCTAATTGCTAATTAGAAAGACGAGTTTGTTTGCTTTTGTTTATCAATTAGCCAAACATATTGCCAAAAAGTCAAAAAAACGAAGGGCTGGAGTCAAGCTGGCCCCCGGATTCGTTTCAATGTTTTTTTTGTGTATGAAAATGAGCACAATTCGCATAAATACTGGCACAATTGAGCACAAAACGGGCACAATTGACTACAGAGTTGAGAAACAGTAGAAAACCAAATGTGGGATGCCGAGCCGGTTTAATTTTTGCATTTCAATATCAAAATATAAGCGAAACGGGGTTGCAATAGTGTGCTTTATTTTTTACTGACCCTACCTAGGTACTTCTCAATTATTATTCATTAATTTAATAGGTACTAGAACGATTTAATCTGGACATTCAAAGTGAGCTTATTTCACAAAGCCAAATAGTGATACCTAATTTAGATTCTCATAATCATATTCCAGAAAAACATTGCAAGTTTCCCATATTTTCCATGCGTTTTCATAGTAAACGCGCCAGTAAAGGAATTTATTTACATATTTATTTATTCACTCTTCACAAACCCTAATTTTTATTAGTAATTACATGCAAGGAAACTTACAACTAAGTAGATATTTGATTTATAAAAAAAAAGCAAAACAAATGCTTGACTAGGAAATACTAACTAGCAATACACACAAATAAAAGAGCGATGTCCTGATACAACAAATCCAGTATTATAAAACCAGAAAATGCTTGGGGTTTTCGCGAGTATTTTCAGCCACGAGTCTTTTATGCTTACACACATTAAATGAAACTTTAAATTTACACTTATAACACTAGATAAATCCGAATTTACGATAAAATAGTTGTCAGCACAAACTAAACATCATTCGTATCAGCGGCCATCTTGAAAATCCGGCATGCGCGTGACGTCACAGCAATTGTGAACAAATTTAGCCGATTGAGCAATCCTGTAGAGTTTACGATTCTTGGGTATAGGGTATATCACATGAGATCTGCTCAGAATTTTACCACATCATATATGCACAAAATATGTCCCACGTCCCCAAATTTGTTGTCGGGACGCGTTAATGTCCCGTATTCTCTGATATTTCAAAAAAAGCGTAAAATAATTAGATTTTTGCGTCTCATTCCAAGTCCCCCGCGGTGGCATAAATAAATCGATTTTTCCGCCTCATCTCTAGTCTCAGGGGCGAGTTCACACACCCCAGTGTGAGTGTGACACCGGTGCGACGCCCTAGCTGTTCAAAAATGCTACACGGTGCTATGGGCCCAATGGCCAATTGTCAATTCAGGCACACCCATAAAATCGCACTCGCACCCTGTGCGTTATTTCTGAACTCGGCCCTGCAAATCGCAACGTGGTGGTTATTCGACAGCATTTGACAGTTTAGAAGGCGAGTTCGGCCCAAGGATAATACACACCACTAAGGATTGTTCATCGGCCTCGTTTTTGGTAATCGACGCCATATTGGTGTATCACCATTGTCATCAACTAAGTCGTCAGCGACGTAAACTGTTTGCACCAGCAGTCGTAGTTTAGAATTTAAATTTATGATAAAAAATATTATTTAATTTTGATAAACATAATAGGCAAATAGGAAGATGCAAACGAGATCTAAAAAATAGTTGTTTTAAAATGTTAATTAATGTATGGAAAACTAAGTATGCATGAAGCAAAAGCCCGTGGAATCATAACCTGTTGTGTAAACAGCCTACGCCAAGGCGAGAAACGACATGCTGCTACGTCGCAAATGGTGATTTGATGGGGTAAGAGGCTTCGTATTTGTTCTACACAGACTACACAGGCCTTATCAGGATAGGATAGGATAGGCTATCCTGTAGTAGTAGTGTGTATTATCCGTGGGTTCGGCCTACGGGCAGTGGCGTAACTACAGGGGGGCCTGGGGGGGGGGGGCCGGGCCCCCCCCAGACGTACCTAGGCCCCCCCCAGAAAAAACTTTAATAATTTGGTATTTTATGAGAGCTACGTTACCTATTATAATTTTATATTATTACCTAATAAATTTGAACGGTAATGCGCGGCGATCCCGATCGACCCTTTTCGATCCTCCGATCCACCAAGGAACGGGCTGTGTGCAATTGTGCCACCCAAAGGTCAGTGCAAATTGCAATGTGCAGAAGTTATTCAGTATACCAAAGCCATTAAATTAGCATTAGCAATATAACAGATTATTTGGGAGTTTGACTAAATATTTTTCCTGTGAATCCGTGAATCGGTGCTAGGTAAGTGATTTAAGCCCGGTTTAAGCCTAGTACTCATAACTGCGAAATTCGCACTTTTTTGACATTGCTTCGAAAATTTGACGTTTGATTCACGCATAAAACGTCAATTTGTCAAAGCAATGTCAAAAAAGTGCGAATTTCGCAGTTATGAGTACTAGGCTTAAGTCAGCTAATCGCCTATAATTGCACTGTTCTACTTTTTTAAAGTTTCCAATAAGTCGCAATAACAGGCCCTAGGCCACTGGCCCCAACTACAAGAGGGCATTGGAGCAGGTGTTCCCATGAGCAACCTTTCATGGGTGTTCGGAGCTCTCGTAGAGAATACGAAAGTACAAACGTATTTAATGGTCATTCCGTTCTGTGTGGTAGTATCAGTATCATGTATGTAATCTAAATTTACACAACTTTGTATAAGAATTATACAAGTGGTATTAGTCTTAGATTAGGGAGGTATTAGTATTCTGTTCTTCCGTTATTTGTGGTCAATTCGATGCTCTATTACTTTATATTGCTAACGTTGCTATTCTCCATCTCTATTCTTTGATAATAATCGGGACATAAGGCATTTTAGGGCATAAAAGTACCAGGCATAATTATTTTGATAATGATGTGATATTTTCATGGCCTAAAATGCGTGCAGAAAAAAGCACTTTTCGCACGCTCGTAGAAAAAAATAGAAAAATATATACAGGGTGTCCCAAATTCCAGGGGGACCATTGAGATATCGGAAACTATAAGAGATACGAGGTCGGTTAAATTATGGCAAAGTTTGGCGCAATTTTTATGACCAATAAAATGCCGTTTTGAAATTTGAAAAATTTCTGAATACTTCCGAAGATATTCGGAAAAAACCGAATTTTTGCAAAATCATTTTTATTTTTTCCTGAGTCTATTTGAAGAGAGCAATGTCAAAATAAATGGCACTTCATCATTGTCATTTTTTCCTCTTTACAATACGTTGCTACCAAATTTCAGATTCGACGTTTCGTCTTTGGACGGCCATCATCAACTTTATTTTTTCGAATACGATCCTGGATTTTTTATTTGAGATTTTAGAGGCTTTTGATGTCCCAAAACCTATGACGTATCGCATTTATTCGAAAAACTATTTTTTCTTTTTTTTTAGTAGTTTCCTACCAAAATTGTCTTCTCTGTCTCCCTCTAACACATTTAGTTCTTATGGAAAGTGCCATTAATATAAATTTTTCGAAAAAATGCGATACGTCATGGGATTTGGAATATCAGAAGCTCTTAAAATCTGAAATAAAAAATCCAGGTCCGTATTTGAAAAAAAAAGTTGATGATGGCCGCCCAAAGACAAAACGTCAAATCTGAAATTTGGTAACAGCATCTTGTGAAGGGCAAAAAGTGACAATGATGAAGTGACGTTTATTTTAAAATTACTCTTCAAATAGACTCGGGAAAAAATAAAAATGATTTTGCAAAATTTCGGTTTTTTTCGAATATCTTCGAAAGTATTCGGAATTTTTCAAATTTCAAAACGGCATTTCATTGGTTATAAAATTGCGCAACTTTGCCATAATTTAACCGACCTCGTATCTCTTATAGTTTCTGATATCTCAATGGTCACCCTCGAATTTGGGACACCCTGTACACTATAAAATAGACCTTTTTAGGCGTGGCATCCGGAAAAAAATGTTCGCCTCCGCTGGCGCCTACGGCGAGTTTCCCCCTCCCCCTATAAACAAATTTATAAAAATATTATCCTGCACCTATGAGGACTTTCAAAAATCAGTGCCTACGGGCGTAGTTCCGAGAAAAAAAATCCCCTATTTTTTCCATAAGTACATGAAACGTCTACTTCATAAAAATATCCCGTTTTTTTATCAGAATAATATGGTAGCCTTAGTCACACCCCCTTTAAGGAGCTCCAAGAGTTTCACCGGGCGGTGCACTAGAGGCGTGTATAGACCAAAGTTTGGCTCACCTCCACGATTAAAAACCGAGACTCATCGCCATCCGTGGATTTGTTGCGTCTTTTTGACTAAGCCGGCTTAGGCTTAGATTCCTAGATAAACGGAAAGTTCACGCGTGGAAACGTTGGCAAAATGGCGGCCACAGTCTGACAGCCGTATTCATAGTCAATCGCCAGCGAGTCGCCAGGGAGTCGCCGTGTGCTAGGCCAAATACGGCGACTCGCTGGCGATTGACTATGAATACGGCTGTGAGACTCGTGAAAACGCCGTTTGTTTTGACAGAAACAGGTTATATCCGACGAATAGCGGAATTTGATTGATATGGCTTAGAGCCAGACAACTGCTGGCAAATTGCCAAATAGCAGTGCCATTAACAGACAAGAAGAAGAAATTATTAAAAATCTCATGTGAAGGTAGTTATTCCGCACTCGTAGAACAAGTATAGTATGCAACGCTCGTGAAATAATATATTGTGCAACAAGTGTTGAAAATAGCAGTTTTCACACGCGTTACACACTACCTATACTTTTTCTACGTCTACGACTGAAATAACTATATTCACATTGAACTTTATTTATAATTTTTTTGTTGAAAAATTATTATTTAAAGTTATAATTAACGAACAATTTTGATACGTACGCTGAATGCACTCGGAGTACTTTTCGCACGCTCGGGAGCGCGTGAGAAGTACTTTTCGCACGGTCGGAGCGTGTGAAAAGTATTTTTCGCACGCTGTGCGAAATAATTGATTTTCTAGGTAAGCTAGTAGTGCGCTTTTAATAGCTTTTTAGAGCAGTCGTAGAAAAAGTACTTTTCTCACACGTGTGATTTGAGCCACTCGCCTGCGGCTCGTGCTACCAAACTTTCCCACGCGTGTGAAAAGTACTATTTTCAACACTTGTTGTACAATGTAATATTTCCGCATACTCGTAGGAAAAAACGGATCATCTTAGTTTCAGCTGTCAAGAAAATGGCAGAGATTATCCTGTTTTTAATCAAGGAACACTCAACCTTAACAGGACGGCTTATTGAGCTGAAAGTGTCTGCCAACTGCCATGTCAGCCGCAGACCTCAACTCTTGGAGTGAAATGCATTATCCGAGTTGGAAAGCGTTCCAAAATCAAAATTCAGTGTACTGGATTATTGAAAAATGACTTATGACATCACCAATGCCCCACTAATGGCGATTTCCCTTTGTCAATCAGTGCACACTGAGTTTATCCCCATCTTTTTCTCAAAGCATGTAACATGTAAGGATAGGGATACATTTTTTTTTCACTGCTATAATTTAGTACTGTGTTTGCTACATATGGGAAGCTACTGTAATCCAGTGAAAATGGTAGGGTGTTGGTTTTTTTCGTTCTGAATGAACTATGTAGGTATTTCCATTGGTTATTGCTGGAAATATGATTCATGCACTCGAGGCGTCTTCGGTAGAATCAGACGATGACCGGAAAATGAAAATGAAAAACAAATAGGAAAGCCAAATAAGGCAATCCAAAAAATAGATTCAATATGGCGACATGGGTCTTCTGTCATCCGTGATGTCTGTTTGTTTAAAAACTACGTTTTATTGATTTTTTCCCTCTAAATTACGGTTTTTGATTGGTGTGAAGCATTTTTTTTTAAATGTCTGCGTGATTGGGCTTACTGTTGCTTTAATGATACAAATTTTATTTTAGCATTTAATTTATTTGCATGGATAAATATCACCTTAAAACACAGAAAACAGTTTTCTGATAATAAAACGTCACGTCACGGTTAAGGTGGTTAAGTTCTCTAAAGGCTAAAGCCTCATTCTCACTTGCGCGAAATTCGCTCTTCTTTGACATTGCTTCGACAATTTGACGTTGATCCATGCATAAAACGTCAAACTGTCGAGGCAATGTCAAAAAAAGAGTGAATTTCGCGCAAGTGAGAATGAGGCATAATGAATAGGATAAACGTTCAACTTATTGAAAATAGGTAGGCAACTGGAAATTACCGTTCCAGAACGGTTCTCATATCGGTTCCAGATAGAGTTCCTAACTCCACTCCATAGGCGTAGAAGGATGGAGGATGGGGGGGTTTACAAGTAATAAAAGCATTTAAATGTGGCATGAAAACCAGGCTATTATTTCTAAATAAATTTTATAAAATATGTTATTGTCATGAAACGTTTGGTAGAGTGTACCTAGAATACTAACATATAGTACCTACAGGACAGGGTGAACGATTTAAAACGAAACAGGCTTAATATCTGACACTATCTGATGCCACGTTTATTTTTAAAAAAACGCTCGTACATTTAATTTGATTTTCAAAGGGGGAAGTTTTCTGCAACCATTTTTAGCACTTCAAGTTTAACCCTCTAGGCGGGGTGGCACCAACTCCTAGTATGTGTTCCAAATGGAACAAGGGTTCGAGTGATACATCTTTAAAACAAGCGTTCAATTATCTTTCATTTGAAAGAAAATTGAACGCTCTTTTATAACAGGTATCACTCGACCCCCTGTTCCATTTGGAATAGATAAGACGACCGTGCAAAATGACTATTAGAAGATGTTTATCGATATGATTTACTTCGTTTGTGTTTTATTAACTGTGCTTTTTTCCATAATAAAACCTGTATTTTGGTAAAAAATTTTTTTATTTAAATTAATAAATGATATAAATTAATATGTCTATTCACTTAAAAATTACCCCTCCCAAAAATATATCACAATAAAAAAAAAATTATTCCAATTTTTATACAGTGATTATAAGAGTATTTTTCTATCTTTCATAGAAAGCTCATAACAAGAGATATTCTTTGGCTAACATAATAAAATTGAAAATGAAAACAGATTCATCTTTTCAATTTCATAGCCCAAACACTTATAATACCCAAGCCTAGAATCCACAAAAGTAACACCCCGAACCCTTGAAATACTTGGAAATCCCATAAAGGCCAACCTTTCTTTATTACGTTCCTTAAAGATTCTATGGCTAAGGTAAATGGAAGGCATTTAGCGAATATCCTGAGACCTATTGGCATAGCTTCCAGTGGCCAAATCAAACCTAAAAAATAGATTTATTGGTTGGTTACATCGAGAAAATCGTCTTTGAAAAATGTAGTTTTTGATTGTTTTTTTTTTTTTTGTAGAGATACTGTATTGTATAACCAATACCATTACACCTCGAAAAACAATGATTTTTGTTGCTAACCCGTATTGGTACACTTTAATATATTTTGAAAATACAGAAATCTTACCACATAATAACATCATAGGTAAAAATCCCCCTGTTACTGAAATATTAGCTTGTGAATGGTCTTCGCATATTGTAGATACCCAAAAGCCTAAAATTCGAAATCAAACGAAATTATTTGTTAGCTTTCCACAAGAAAATGTTATTCTCACCATAAGCCATTCCACAAATCCCGGCGAAATAAGTGAGTAGAAACATTACTGCAGTACTTCCTATATAAGTATACTGGTAAGCTACAAAAATCGTAAACAGCACTTCAATCGCTTGTACCACCATTATGGAAGCTTGCAAAATGAAGTGCGTCAAAATAATTTCAAGCGATGTAACCCCAGCTACAATAGATCGATCCCATACTCCATCTTTCCGGTCTGTGATTATTATTTGTGAAGTCATCATTGATCCCAAGAAGAAGCACATACTAAAAATACAAAAAAAAATTCTAAAAAAAAACACACTAGGAATTTTTTTAAATTTATTTGTGGCGGATATCCTTCTATAAAAAACTGGCAATTTTAAATTTTTGTTTGTTGAAAATTGAAAAAAATCACACTTTCCTCCTATTATCATATGTTAGCGTTAAAACCTGGTATTGAACCCAAAAGTCTCTATAATTTTAGGATCTGGATCGCCTCGAGATAATGTTTCGTATGAAAGATGTTACTTACGTCACAAGAGTTCCAGGTATCATAAAAATAGTAAAAACTTCTTCCTCATCACCATACATATACTCTCTTCTCATAGGCAAATTTCCCAACCTCGCAGGCCAATTACATTCTCTGAAAACTTCCTCTTGGAAATCGTAGAAGAGTTTGTAGAGTTTGAATTTTAACGTCATGCCAATTTGCCTATTTGACATATCCAGATATGCTTTAATTTCTCCAAATTCCGATATCCAGGATTCGGCATCTTTGCCATCTTCAATCTTTATTGAAACGTATTAAATTGAAACTGTATTCTAACATAAATGTAACTACTTACTCTGCTCTGATAAGACTGCGTGAAGTTTTCAGCCATATATAACGCTCCAGTTATTTGTCCATGGGTTATTGCGGTAATTGCTTCATCCAAAGTATTAAATTTGACCTAGAGACGACTTAATTACTTTCTTTATCTTCTTCAAAAATACTAATATTTTACCTTAGCTATCATGGGATGCTCCAAATACTCCAAAAACCGACAACTCATATTATAAAAATTACAATCAAAGTCGTGGATTTCGGTGGTTCCATTAAAGACAAAATTTGAGCACCGAGTGGTCATGGTTTCGTCATTGACGATGCCCAGCTTCAGGTCTTTCACCTCGCCACCTACCCCATGTAAAAAGCACAGGGTTTGTAATAGAGGAAAACTGATAAGGAAAACGATACCCCTGAAAAATAATGATGAGTTTTATTGAAATACAGATTTAAAATTTGCTACTTACGTGACGTTTCTGTAAAATTGTTTCCAATTTTTGTCCAATAAAGCCTTCATTCTATAACTCTCCATGCTGGTATTGTCCTTTTTAATTTTTGTAGTCTTTTTTTCTTTGGTGAGTTCCTGAAAATCAGTTTTTTCCATTTTTACCGATAAGTAATTTATAGTCTGGAGTTTTTGCTCTTACGTCCTTTGATCCATAAGCCATATCGAATGTAGCGACAGAAGTAGTCGACGAAGCAGATTCTATTACTCCATTACCATTTTGCCTATTGCATGCTTCCATAACACTATTTATTATTCCATCTTCCTGGTTTCTACTCAAAATAAGGAAAGCTTCTTCTAAAGTTTCTGTATGGAAAAGTTGTAGAAGTCTTGCTGGGGATTCTTCCGCTAATAATTTACCATTACGCATCAGACCAATCTGAAATAATAATAATGTACAAAACAAGTGCAGAGTTTAGGCTTTCAACAAACAAATTAAATGTTTCCTATTGAATAATACAATCAGTAATGCAAATGAAAGTTTTCATTTGTTGTATCAATAGAAATGGTAACATATTTGGTGTTCTTGGAGCATATTTGCAATGTTTATTTTAATATTATTTTTTACAGGAATCCTATTGCTTTTAATTAGTTTTGTTATGTTAGAAAACGACAATTACCTTATTAGCTCGTCTAGCTTCTTCAATATAATGTGTGGTTATAATCACAGCTATTTTTTCAGAATGGACAATTTCGACTAAGTAATTCCATATCCTGAAAAATACAAATAAAATTAATTTCGTTTTTATTTTATTATAAAAAACTTTACTTGTCTCTCAATAAGGGGTCAACTCCAGCTGTTGGCTCATCTAAAATAAGCAACTCTGGCATGTGCACCATTGCAGCAGCAAACGATACTCGTCTTTGTTGTCCTCCGCTGCAGTTTTTCAAAAACCTATCATCTGGAGGTAAATCCAATAACATCGATAGTTTTTCGAATCTCTCACTGATCAGCGTTTCAGGCATATTTAAAATACGACCAAAATAGAAGACCGCATCTCTTACTGTAAACTCTCCTACTAGAGCGATTTCCTGGGGCATGTATCCAACCCTTGGTCCTGGCACCCCGCTGCCTTTTTCTCCTGGAGTTCCACCCAGAACCCATATTTCTCCAGAATTGATGCTTTTTCTTCCTACCATACAGCTTAATAATGTTGTTTTGCCGCATCCAGAAGCACCCAACAATCCATAACTAAAGCAAATGAATGTTATTTTAGTATAAACAGAGAATGTTCATTAAAATTAATTTATTTTTTCGAATTCAACTTACGAAACACATTATTACAAATTGAAGAGCGAATTGTCATGTAAAGAATATGTTATAGGTAGGTGTCCTCTGGAGTCTGGTGTAACGCTTTCTGGTATGTAAGGTTAAAATGAAAGTGTTGAACTTATCTAATCAATTTGTCGAATGATGTCTATTTTTCAATAGAGGATTCCAGGATCGGCATCGAGAGCTACGTTAAAATTTTGGAAGCAAACCTGATCTCGAGATTTCATTTCCGAGAGAGAGAGTAAGGACCAACAATTATTGTCTTTTTTTATTCATTTAGGTACCTTACAGAATTTTTAGCAACGTTAATTGTTCAATTATTTTAATTACATTTTTTCATTTTGAAATCTTTATCAGCTTATGTATCTCTAAAGTTAAGACATTTAGAGGTTCATAGGAAGTTTTCTTCTTAAAATAGACCCAAAAATCGCCCCTTAAATATTGACATTCACACCCTGTACACCAACTTACAATAGATACACGTTTTGAACACCCGATGAGCTAGTGAAAACCAAAGTGGAATATTTATTAGGGCATTTGGTTGGTCATCATTCACCACAAAGCAACGAAAAAAAAAATCTTCTAAAAGGAAACATAAACGCTATGCGGATTTCCACATACTGTAAATGAAAATCGACACCACACATTATCGTCCGCCAAGACAGAGAATAGAAATAGTGTTATATAAATACTCCAAGTCTTGTTTCGATTTTTTACTCACATTGTCCCTCTATCCACGTTCATACATAGTCCGTCCAAAATTGTCTTGTCCCCATATTTTTTGACTACATCTCGGACACACACAGCCGCACTAATCGACTGAAACAAAAAAAATTGGTTTAATAAAAGTTACAATAAGTATGGTTTTTAATTCCATGTAAAACCACATAGAACATTGAAATGTTAAATAAACATTTGTCAGGCATTTTCAAATACGATTTTTTAAAAGCATTATGTTCCTCTGACCACTATCGATCAATTTGATGATTTTCAACAAAGGCAGGTCATAAAACAATCAGAAACTCAATAGACCTGATCGCCTTGAAGGTTAATTTATGATGCGTAATGAATGAAAGAAATTATAGAATGACCAGGAAGATCTTGATTGATGAGAATTTTCTGTCTTGAACTAAACTAAAATGGGAAATACATATTTGGGTTGGTTATAACAGGTACTCGTACTAAGTGTACTAAGTAGCATAGCTAACAAAAGACCCTACGAAATCTCAAACTCAAATAATAAATTTTTCAACCCCAAAGTTCAAAAAAGCCAAATTACAAACGAAATAGGATAATTCAATTCATTCAAACAAAAGCCATTTCAGAATCAAACACAAACTCATGAATAATTTAGTCCAATAAGCCATAGTTTCCCAGAGCAAATCCCAAAAACCCAATTAGGAAAATCCAAAAATCTAATAACAATACCTGAACACCCTCACTTAACAAGATCATAAAAATCATGGAAAAACCCAAAATTGACCAAACTGCAACAACAATGGCCATATTACTTGAAAATGTTGAAAATAATTCTTGTAAATATGCAAATGTGAACTGGAGTAATTGAATATGCAAATTAAGACAAGACTAATGAAAATCTTTAAAGAAAATTTATTCCACTTAGACAAAGACTCTGTTTGACCCTAAAAATACTCTTTGTAGGTATTAATTATTGAAAATTTACTGATTATTTGTACTATATAAAATTACTTTAAAAACTAAATGTATATAAATAACTGACTGGCAGCGATCATAGAATGGTAAGATGTAAAATAGCCATAAATGGCAGACTAGAATGAGCAAAGAAATTCAACCGTCCCCAAAACAAATTAAGCACACATACCAGTAAAACAAAAAAAAAAAAAACAGAATTCCCAATAAAATTAACACAAAAACTGAAGAAAGACCCCATAAGCATGTATGCCAAATTTCATTAAAATATCTAAAGTGGTGTTACAGATATTAATAAATGAATAATTATTTTTGAAAACTTTATCACCCTGTTTCTCAAAAGTTAAGACGTTCAGGACATGGGTTCATATGAAGTTTTTTTCCTAAAATGTACCAAAAATCACCTCCCTAAATATTGACATTCAATTAGAAAACCTTTACCTATATCAAATAACTATGAATTATTGAATCATTTCAAGTAGGTAATTTAACAAAAATCAGAAATGCAAACAATGGTTAAATAAGAAACGACGTGTGTTATTCAAAGAATCAGGTTCTAATGTTTACTAAAACCTACATCAATTATTATTGTCAATAAAAATAATTTGTTCAAAGGAAAAATGCAATTAAATTCTCATGAAATATTTGTTACTTCCTCATTTAATTTCAATTTAAATTTTTGATTGCGTGTTCTTGAAAGTAACTTATTTTTAAAATGTTTACCGATTCATACATTTCCATACCATTATTTTATAATTTTTTAATTTTGCGTTTAGTAAGTGATCGCGGTATTTCTCTATACATTATATGCCAAAGTTACATGCAACCCTACCACTATTAGGTACCTATTATTGATTAGATTACGCTCTCATATCCTTAAACAAGCTACATTTCTTTTTTCAAATTGAAATTGCGATAAATCCATTATTAACCTTTTATATAATGTAGGTATTTCTGATAGGCGTTTAAGCTTTCTAGTGCGTATGCGTGTCCAATTTAATTCTGTATTTCAGATATCCAAATGAGTTTTTTCATTCGGAAATTACTTACTTTAACAAAAGATTTCTAAAATAAATACTGTAAATTTGGTCTGCTTACCAACGCCCAAAAAATTAAAAATCAAAAAAAATTCAATTAATGCACTTGAATAATTTTTAATTTCATAAGCTGTCTGGCTATAATGGGTATAGATAAATGATTAGCATAATATTGGCTAACGCTTCATTATTATTTCATAACTGCTTTCACCGATAGTTTGTGACTTAATCACGTGAAAAACATTTTAACTGCTTATCAATTCACTTTCAAATAAAAGTAGTGGGTATTGTTAAAAACAAATATTCGTTAATGCTAAAAGAGAATTTATTGACAATAAGGTAATTTCTATGTAAATAATTAAAACAATATTTTTGCACAGATTGTTTATTTTGAGAAATAAACAAAAATAGTTTGTAGAATAAATTTCATAATATATGTAGGTACCTAATAATGGTTTTTGAACAGTGCGTCTCAAAAAAGAGATCATTGATGATTTCTGAATATTTGATTCGTCTGATATTGTCAATAAGTTCCCCAATGATTTAGGCATTGCCTATATAAATTTTTTTTGAAAACGTACTACTTAATATGTCTGAGTAGCACAAAAGCTAATCTAATGGGAGTGAGGTACGTGAATTAAAAAATGCTAAAGCTCCTGGTATGGCGGACAAAATAAAATCAGAAACTATTGAACATGTTTGTCACGGAATTGTTGTGCCATTACCGCATTTAATTAGGTAATCATGTATTTAAGGAAGGAAAATGTCCCAGTCTATTTAAAGTTTCGGTAATAAAACCTCTTTTGAAAAGTGGTAATTGGTAATGAAAATCAATTAACAAATTACAGGCCCATTTGCGAAATAAGCTTATTACTTTTTTTTAAAAAATATAAACTTATTGTCTGAGAAGCAGTTTAGGTTTATAAGGAAAAATAAAAACACGCAAAATTCAAATTAACAGAAAAAATATAATGACAGTTTAGACAGAAGTAAGCCATTATTGTGTATACTTCTTGATCGCGCCATAAGGCTTTCGACACTGTAAGTCATCAAGATTTGTTAGAAACCTTGCAAGATTCTGGAATACGAGGCACATCATACAATCTAATGAAAAAATATTTTTTTAAGCGAACGCAACACGTACCTACTTATGGAAAATCAGCTAAGCGACTCTGAAACTCTCAAATGTGGCATATCGCAGGGAATTGTTTTTGGTTCTGTTCTATTTAGACTTTACATAGGATGTCTTAACAAGCACTTGAATTCAAAATCGCGCGTCATTTCTGTCTGTCAAGCGTCAAGTCGGCCATTTTGGGCATGTGCAGCATGTTAATGAAATGTTGGCGGACCAGTGGCGTAGCGTGGGGGGGCGGACCGCCCCGGGCGCCACTTTCAAAAGGGCGGCAAAATTGCCGCTTCTTGTACCCTTCTAGACTTGCCTGTAACTAACATCATTATTGAAGTGAATTGCTTCTAATAGGATGTCTGGTAGTAATGGCAAACAGATGACGCCATCAGGTGGTGCATTATGTTTAGGCATACATATCACGTCATAAAAGTTATCAGGGACGGGATTGTCAACTTCTAGTCGCAACCTATCGTCCCGACTATCCGCGTCACCTTTCTACAAGTGGTCGGGACGTTACGTATCGACAGATTGAGAATCCCCCCACCAGGCAACCTACCTCTTTTATGGCCGAATTTATAATCGTTTCTTGAATCTTCCTTGGAATCGCGCAAGTTAGTCATGTCAATTCTAAATGCTCAGGGCTTTCTTAAGGACAAGGATAAATTCGGCCCTTAAACAACCTTGATCCAAACCGCAAATGCCAGGATTCAATATAGCGGCAATTGTCGAGCATCTGTGATGTTTGTTTATTTAACCTACGTTTTCTGATTTTTGAAGTTTTCTTATCTGTCGTGTGAAGCGCACACCGCCGTGGCTTGGGTTCGGTAATTGCATCTGCGAGCAAAACTTAACAGAATGTCACTGATTTGACATGTGAAAAAAGATAAGTGATCACGTGACACCCATTAAAATTTGCTCGCAGATGCAATTACCGAACCCGGTCCGTATTTTTTTTTATGACGTCAAAAGGGCGGCAAATTATGATTCCGCCCCGGGCGACAATAGCCTATGCTACGCCACTGTGGCGGACTTATGGTGTTGCACCGTTGCCGTCATCAATGGAGTCGTTAGCAGTTTGCGTCAGCGGTCGAAGTTTAAAATATTTATTTATGATGAAAAATATTATTTAATTTCGATAAACATAATAGGCGGAGAGGAAGATGCATACGAGATCTTGAAGAAGGTTGTTTTAGAATGGTACCTAATTGATGTACTAAAACCAAGTATTCATAAAGCGAAAGCCAGCGGAATCATAGCCTGTGTTGCAAACACCCTACGTCAGGGCGTGAAACGACACGCTGGCTACCTACGTCTACAGTGGCTAAATAAACCTTTACATACAGTGGCGACAATAGAGGTCCCGCCGCCATCTTGTTCCCAACCTCTTGTTACTTTTAAATATTAATATATAGGATTTAAATGAACATCTATCATAAAAAATTGAAATTGGACGTATTTGATGACCATTATCAGGTCCATCAAAAACGTGTTTTCCATGATTTATGATAGATGTTCCCCTAAATCCCATATATTCACACTTAAAAGTAACAAGAGGTTGGGAACAAGATGGCGGCGTTTTCAATATAAATATATGGGATTTTAGAACCAATCAAAAATGAGACAGCAATTGTCGCCACTGTGGGTAATAGAGTCACTGTACCTACGTCATCACTAGTACTTTGGCTTGGTGGAGGGTTTGAGATTTGATCTACACAGGTCCTATGAGGATAGGCTATCCTGTGTAGTGCGTAATATCGCTCGACTTATCATGAAGAATTTGGAAAACAAAAAAAAAAAGAAGAAGAAGCCCGAAGACAGGCAGAAAAACAAGAAGAAGAAGACCGAAGGCAAAAAGAACAGGGACCGGCTTGCAGCACTTTTACAAAAATAAGAAGAACAAAGACAGAAAGAACAGGACCGGCTTGCAACAGTTTTGAACAACAAGAAGATCGAAGACGAAAAGAACAGGACCGGCTTGCAGT